TAAATCTTCCGTGGTGGAATGATGTATGCTCACAAGCTGTAACAAACTGTAAGACTGCATATATAGAGTTTAAACAAAATCCTTCTGAACAAAATTATATACTGTTTAAACAGAAACAAGCACAGAAAAAACTAACAATTAATAATGAAAGGCAAAAAGCATGGGTAAAATTATGTAATACTTTCAATCGTCAGACACCTTTATCATTGATTTGGACTAATATAAGAAAATTTAACAAATCATACAGACCTACTTTTAATTCAAATACTAACAATTGGATTCAGTCTTTTTTAGATAAGTACACCTCTAACACTCAATCTCCACCATTAGATTACTTTTCTGACCAATGTCTTGATAGTGAATCATTTTTTATGAAACCATTCACTTTAATAGAGTTATTAAGTGCCATAGAATCCCGCAGAGATACAGCTTTTGGTTTAGATCACATCTCATACAAAATGTTTAAAACTCTTAGTCCTTCCAGTCACAAAATAGTTTTGCAAATCTACAATTCACTTTGGGAAAAGTCAATTATTCCTAAATCATGGAAAGTCGATTGTTTGGTCCCCATTCTAAAGTCTGGCAAGGATAAAGATGACCATGACTCCTATAGACCTATAGCTCTAACATCATGTGCAGCAAAACTCTTTGAACAGTTGATCAAACAAAGACTAGATTACTTTATAGAACACAATAATTTATTGCCTTATAATCAGTTTGGCTTTAGGAGAGGTCGTTCTGCAGTTGAGAGCCTAAATCATTTATATTTAGACATACATAGTGCCTTTACAAATGGTAAGTTTCTTGTGTGTATCTTCTTTGATATCATAGGTGCCTTCAATAATGTTGACCATCATATTTTAGCAGAAGAATTGTGTTCTCTCCAGTTACCTGTGAAATTTGTGAAATGGATATTTAATTTTTTAAACAGTAGGGAAGTCTATGTTAAATTTCAAAATAATTTGTTTGGACCACAAATGTCTAATAAAGGAGTTTGCCAAGGTGGGATACTCAGCCCATTGTTATTTATTCTGTATATACATAAGTTAAATAGTATATTAGGAAATGATGTAAATAATTTGCAATATGCTGATGATCTCACAGTGTACTGTACTGGCACAAATATGTTTCAAGTGGAGAAAAAACTTAACTATGCATTACAAAAATTAAAATCATATTTTACATATCTGAAATTGGATATTAATTTAACTAAAACCAATGTTGTAGTATTCAGCAAAAAGAAAATTTTACTAACCAATATCATATATGATGGCAATCCACTTCCCGTTAGTAATGAGGCTAAGTTCCTCGGTGTCATATTCACTAAGAACTTATCATGGAATAAACATGTAGCTGGCTTAGTAGACAAATCACTAAGAGCTTTTAACATCTTAAAGTCCTTAGCTTGGACATATTGGGGTGCTGATCCAAAAATCTTACTTATGTTGTATAAATCCATTGTCCGTTCTCATTTCGAATATAGCTTTCTATGCTACACATGTGACCATTTTCTTGTTCATAAATTAGAGAAGATTCAAAATAAAAATTTAAGACTTATCACAGGAGCAATGAATACAACTCCTATTATATCTATGCAAGTAGAGTGCAATATTTCTTCATTATTTTTAAGATTCAAATATTTAAAATTTAAATTCATCCTTAAAATCCACAGTATAAATAATCACCCTTTAGTAGATAAACTGATTCGTCTAAGTGAGTCTTTTTCATCATTAACATTTGTAAATACTCATTGTAAATTCCCATATATTCTTCATGATTTCTGTGAAATATCAGCATATATTTTAGAAACAAACATAAATAGAAATGAACACTGGGCTTGTTATAAAGGTTCCTATGAAGGGAAATTCCCACAATTAGAAATAAATATAGATAACAACTTACAAACAAAAGAAGCTGTATATGAAAAGTTATCAGAATGGCTAGGTTATGAAACAATTTATACAGATGGTTCAAAAAATGACTCTGGAGTATCAGCTGCTTATTACCACAAAAATGTTAAGTACGGCAAAGGACATAGACTGCCAGTTATTTTCAGCGTGTTTTCGGCTGAAGCCACTGCAATTTTGTTGGCTCTCAGATATGTTCAAATGGATATCATGTGCTCCAACAAAAGCAAGTTTTTAATAGTTTCCGATAGTATGTCCGTTCTCAAAGCACTTGATAATTTTAAACTACAGAATGCTAATTATATATTGTACGAAATTAAAGAAGTTATTCAAAAATTATCTGACAACAATAAAATTGTAAAGTTTCTTTGGACTTCAGCACATGTTGGTGTGGCAGGCAATGAAAATGTTGACCATCTTGCCAGATTAACGAATTTACTGGGTGGCGATATTAAAAACATCTCTTGTCCTTGGCAAGATGTCGTACCGGAATACCGTAAAAAAATCTACGAGCAATGGACAGCAGAAAGAATACTTGTCACTACTACAAAAGGTGCATGGTATGCTGGTATCAATAAAGAAGTTGGCAGAAAACCTTGGTTCGCTATATCCAATGACTACCTCCAGAGGAAATTCTACACTCAAATAAATAGATTGAGATTTGGACATTGTCGATTTAAAGCTCACTTACATCGTATGCATATGATAACATCTCCAGTATGCACCGAATGTTCAACTCAAGAAAACCAGATACTTGAACACATCTTTTTTTCATGCCCAACCTACAATATCCAGCGACTCGTTTTGATCCATCACCTCCTGAAAAGATACAAGACTATCCCGCCTTCCCTTCAGGATCTCTTAGCTTGCCCAGTAAACTTTGTACCGATCTATGACTATATTAGCTCCACTCTTGGAGAAATCTGATTTGACCCTCCCGGATATGTAAAATGATAACCCTGGACAAGACAAAGAAATTTAAAACTAAAGATCTGGCTATCAGCCTTTTAAAAAAAATAAAATAAACAAGACAAGATGGAATAAAATGAAAACAAAAAGATTAGGCTTTGCCTTATAAAATAATATAACCCAAGATTTGGCTGTATGGCTTAGTTCCTTCGCCTGTCCCATGGACGAATTATAATACTACTACTTAACCGCTGCCACGGCCGCCCACGCACCGCGCGCAAATTTTCAATTGTATGAAGTATTTAACTACCTAGGTCAAACATTTATATCTCAAAAAAGGCATTAAATAAATTATCTTTTTATAAGAAAAAAAGGCAAATGAATTAAAATATTAATGTATTCAAAGTAGTTTCGTAAATTTTCAACGGTATCTACGCCAAAATTCAATTTAATCCTACCTAAAAAAATATAAACAATTATCTATTATTTTTATTACCCTTTTATTATTTTTAGCAATAAAAAGTCAAATTATCATCAATTTATCGAATAAAATATTTCAATAACAATATTCGATTTAATCATAGACACCCGGCTCGCTTTCATTACAAACTTTTTTAAATTCCTCTATGGTGTTGACAACTTTAAACTTTTAGATTATTTCACTTCGATTATTTTAAAACCAACACTATAGTTGTCGGTTCTAAATTTAAATTTATATCAGCCAACAAAGCGCAGCGCTCTCTACAGACCGTACTACGGACGATCGATACTCGAAGGGTTCAATAAAAATTTAAAATATCTATATAAATAAAAATATTCAAACATACACAGTAATACAACATAGTGAAAATCTTAGAATAAGAGATTTTGTTTATTTGCTCGCCATATTTTTTTCAATAATCTATACTCATATTTACAATAAGGAATGATTTGATTGCTTGTTTGTTTGTATTTGATAGGCTCTGCTATTGGACCGATTTACAAAGTTTTTCATTCTAGGGGAAGCTACATAATAAGCGGGGAACATAGGCTATAATAAACGCAGCCGAAATCGCAGGAAAACAGCTAGTTTTATAGAAATTGATTCAAAGTTCAAGAAGAAATCAATGAACACTAACTTTCATAAAGACTCTTTGAATACAGCAAATTCTACTTTCAAATTTTGAAATTCAAAATACGCAATCTTGAGTTTTTGTTAGCTGAAATGGACTTTGTCATTACATAAAATCTAAATATATAGGTGATATCTGTATATACCAATTCGCGTATTAATTTTCCAAGTACTGATATACTAAGATTCGAAAACACAAGAAATACTTTTTATATTCACTTCATGTGCGAATATTTCCAATAGGCGAATGGGAGTGATTCCAGAGAGAAGTATTCTTGATCAGATCCTTTTCCTCTTTTATTCTCTCTACAGGAATAAAATCTAAGATAAAGTACCTACTTAATTAACAATATATCATAACCGTACCGTAATATTAAATTTTGTGTACAGTAATATTAAATTACGTGCATTATTAAAAAAAGGTACTCTCGATCTTAAACGAGGAAAAAAGTTTCCTAGTTCCATTTAAATATAAGTGGTTAAAAATAAAAAATAAAATAAAAGGTAAACTATATTTATTTAGAAGTACTAACAATAGTAACTTTTTATATTTTCAAACATAATCATTTAAATTAAACAGATGTAACATTGAAAAGTATTTATTTTATCAATATGCTTACAAATGCATGTTTTAATAATTTGAAAACACGATCAAGCATTTGTGAAAACAAAAACATTAATGTTAATAATAGACGAGATACGTGAAAAACATCGCAGAGACTTTTCTGATTAAAAAACTTGTTTAAGTAATCCAACTGTGTGAAGAGTATTTTCATGCAACTGTTCTTTTTTCTAGGAGTACGTCTTTAATTTTTATATACGAATAATGAAATATAAATATGCAAGTGAGCATCCTCTCGCATAGTAAACTTTAGATTTTAGTACATTGGCCTTTAAATGACACAACTGACCTTAAATATAATCCGTCTTGAGTATTTAAGAATTCTGCGTCCATCCGGCATAATCAACATAGGAAATAGCGTTAAAAATAAGTAAATAAATTACGTGGTTGTATTAATTAGCATACAAAAAATAGATATTTACACACATAATTATTAACACCATAATTGTTATCGTAACATTTTTCTCAATATTTTTCCAGATATACTCTTTGGTATATTGTCAACGAATGCTACCTCTTTAATTTTTTTATAAGGCGCTACACGTTTTGTGACAAAATCAATAATTTCTTGATATCCCACTTTAGCACCTGGCATTGTTACAATAAAAGCTTTAGGTCTTTCCCCTAGACTATTATCAGGTACCCCTATTACAGCAGCGTCATGAACCGCTGGATGCTCTTTCAATACGTTCTCTAGTTCAGCAGGAGGGACTTGATAACCTTTTACCTGAAAAGTTTTAATTCAATTCATAATTTGATTCAATAAAGTCACGTGTAAAAAAAAAACTCCATCTGACACATTTGAATAGTCATTTGAGTTTTAATTTCTTTTTTCAAAGAAAACAAAATGTTAATCCATTTTGCTAACGTTAACTTAAGTTGTTCGAAAAACTATTATAGCTCTGCTATTTGTAATATTAAACACCGGATACATTTGAAGAAATCAATTACAAATAGATTTAACAATTGAATACGTCGTTAGTAGAGATCACGTCATCATTCCGTACCTTTATTAGTTCTTTTAGTCTATCAGTAATGTAAACAAGTCCAGAATCGTCAATGTTTGCTATATCTCCGCTTCTATACCATCCACCTTCAACAAATACTTCTTTATTTGCTTCTGGGTTATTCCTGTAGCCTTTCATTACGTTCGGGCCTTTTATTAATAGTTCACCGGCCTGTGAAGTTTATTCAATTGGGGATCATTCAAATAGTAAACATAATTATTGGTTTAAATGAACCAATAACAAAATCTAAATTTCTATAAAATGAAAACCTTCTATTTCAAAAAATCTATATCATAAAATTTATTCATTTAAAATTTGAAAGGGTAAACGTGCATATTGATAAAAGTCGATATTTATATAATTTATAACATTATATTCAGAATCTAGAACAAAGCTAGCACGCCAAAGCTGAGCCAAAAGTCAAACGAAGCGCATCGCCATTACCTACTTTTCTCGAAATGCTTCGTCGTATTTTGAACCGCAGTTAGTAAATTTGCAGTTTTTTTTTTCAGTTGACAGCACATCATATTATCCAATTTTGCCAATTTTTTGTGATCAATTTTAAACCTCTTTCATTATTATCTATCATTAATCGTAAAATCTCTACTGCTACACATATACATATTACAGCATAGGATTTTCCCATGGATCTGTACGAAGAGCTGTCCTGTCTTTATTTTCTTATACCCCTTACAATTTTAGATTCATATTATACCGCAGAAATAACGCATTATTATTTATTTATCTAGTCAAACTACTAACGACAAATTGATTATTTTGTCATTCGTTCCACAAACAAACAAAACCTATTTGACTTTTACGAATTAATAATAATATTATAATCTTTATTGCACACATACAGACAGGAAAACAACATGAAATTACACGGTATAACAATACAAAGTACACAAAAGGCGGCCTTATTACTAAACAGCAATCTCTTCCAGACAACATGGAGGAGAATAATAAAAGGTAAATTAATGGTGATCATCTGATTATAATCAAACATTTCTTTAACTGTCTAAAATAATTATTATAACTGACTTTGTAATTTCTTTGATCTCACCATCGTTTTGCAAAGACGCCCAAAACAAACATCACTAACTATACATGTTCTTTTTACGTATATATAACACAAATATAAAATATTAATTATTTCCTACAACAAAGGAAAAAGCTCACAATAATTAATAACGTACTTGACCTGGGCCCAAATTTTTCATGTTAGCATCCACGACCCTCAGTTCTATGTTTGGAATTGCGTACCCGACAGATTCATAGTCTGTACGATCTGGAAGACTCAATGTCACTAAGGGAGAAGCCTCAGTCATTCCGTAACCTTGAGAAATCACCAAATTGCTCTAGAAAAATAACAAATTGAAATGTTGAATCGATAAACCTTTCATAAGAAGAGAAACAAAAAAAAAGATAAATTATGGAGACATAGAATATGTTTTTTTGTATTACATTTATATATAGGCGTGTTATAATTTGATGATTATAAGTTTGAATGAAAATAACCAAGCAGCTAATGGACATTAGTCACTAGCACTGAACTCTCCTGAACAAAGCGATAAAATTAAGTGATGTCCTAATAGCGTAATAATTAATCATTAGTTAGTTTTATTGCGTGAATTCTCGTGAATTACTTACGTTTTGAAATCTTGAGATCATTTTATTTACATCGGCAATAGGTAACGGAGCTGCTCCTATAGTAATACATCGTAATGATGCCAGATGTTCAGGTGTTACTTGGAGGCTTGTTCCCAGGAATAAAACTATAATTAAATACTATAAATAATTACAAACAAATCATCTGTAGGGGAAGATTGGCACCATTCGTACACTTTTTAGTCAATGATTTTTAAAATATTGATAATCAAAGATAAATTACTCAATTACTTATTAAAACATAAAGCATACTTTCTGCTCCTTATTTAAAAAGTTCAAAGCCGATATCTTGTATAATATATCAAAGGATTGAATTTTACTAAAAGCTTACGAATGTCCGAATCTACCCCTATTACGGGGTACAATCGTACATGGGCCGGGGAACATTCAGACAGTGTGGTAACTTCATATATATTAAGTAAAATAACAAATTATTTAAAAAATATCGTTTTCATTGATCTCAAACTTATCAACGATGTAATAAACTAAACGACATATGCCTATATGTCGTTTAGAGTCTAACTATCTTTTTTACGAAAACCGTGCATCCATTCTATATCAGCGAAGCCAGTTTCATAACAATTTTGTTAAACTTTTATATTTCAAAACTTTATCATAATCATTTGATAGTGTTGTGACTTCCAATATCGTGATTCCGAAATGTGTTTTTGAACTTTTTCAATTGATTAGTCTTTTTAGTAAAACTATTTGTTTTTTACTATATAAAAACACCTTTTACAGACGCAAAAAAACTCATTTAATGAATATTGGGAACGTGTCTGCCTTTTCTTCTTAAAATTCCGATCATTTGTTCTAAATTTTCTGATATAATAATAAAAATTGTTAGCACACAGGGGGTTAGCGGGTACATACATACGCGTACGAATGTGCCCTTGCTGGAAAAATACGAACGTGCCCCGAAGATCAAGAATAAAATTATTTTTTCTAACACCAAATCCACGTAGAAAAATACACATAATAGATATATTATTATTATCTTAATCGTATTCACTTATGATTAAGCAATAATCCAGTAAAATTTGACGTGTAATTAAAGCACGGAAGATCCAAAAACATTAACAAAGTATTTACTAAGAGCATGCTAAAACACTTTAAGTTCTCTAGTTTCGCTCGCAGTGGCTGCATGTGTGGCTAACTTCGTGGACAACTGGCAGTCGCCGGCGCCTATCCACTGACACAAAGTCGTAATAAATAGCCTTTTCTACAAGATGTAGTAGTGACTGTATGAAGGTTCCCCGTGTACGAATGGTGCCAAACTTCCCCTATAGCTCTGCATAAAATTCAAATGTGATGTGTGAATTCGGGTGTACAATAATGACCTGATATAAGTATAAATATAAATATGCAACTGAATTTTAAAGTTATATTACATATTCTATTCGCCCATATGAATTGGAACCTTGTTAAATTTGAGAATCTCAATAAAACAAAACTTCATATAAATATCGATATTACTGGTGCAGAAAATTTACCCATTGGTGGAACAGCAAACAGAATATTTGTACGGTGTACTTTTAAAGAGTTTAAAAAAGTATCTGGTTGAAATTTAGGTAGAGTTAATAGTTTCAGTCCAGCTGCCATCTTATGTAACATAATTATTCCCAATCCATACGAATGGAATAGAGGAAGTATTGCAAGAGCAGTATCTTGATGTGTTTCTGAAAGTACAATAGTTAATAGTTATGTGAAAACAATCGCAGGGAATTAAACGGAATCATTGGAATCCCAAATTTATAGTTAATTCTGACTGCTTTATAAACAAAATATCTTTATAACAGCTTTATAATAGGACAAACAGAAGAAAACACAAGTGAATGCCGCCTAACGAAAAATGTGTAAATGGCTGTATAATTTAAATTTGGAATTCCCAACCAGGCAGGAGAAATTTGTGATTAAAGTGGCCAATACGACAAAACGCCAATTTCATATATAAGGACCTAATATTAATATATGAATAACTGACCTGTTGTATAATGATACTGCCTAACATCAGTGTTTTGCTGTTCACAGTTACTCACTAAATTTCTATTCGTCAGTTCTACACCTTTAGGTAGGCCTGTGGTTCCACTTGAATATGGTATTACTGCAATATCACTAGGTTTCCTATTCACTTGTTTTAAAATGCCTAAATCGACGTGGTCATCTTCTACGAGCTCCTTTAATCTCGTAACATTCTCTGGTAGAGGTTTATCGATATTTATTATTATAATAGGAATATTTTTCTTAGCATGTTTGTAAGCTTCTTTAACGACAGGAACATAATCTTCATGTACTATCATGAGTTTGACATCTGATAACTCTATTTGCCTACAAACTTCATCTGAAACGTCACAAGTAAAATATATAAGTAAATTGTTGTGTTCTTATTAGTTATACCTAATCCCAAACCTTGACGTTTGCTATAATACATATACTTCGTCGTCATTGGGCACGGACAGCATCAATATCACAGAATTTAGTAATAATGACCTTACTTTTAGAGCACAATCTATAAGATAAATAAAAACCGACCAAGTATGAGTCGGACTCGCACACGAAGGGTTCCACAACATTATTCATTAAAGAAGTAAATTTATTGTTTTCTATAGTTGTTCGAAATTTTCGAGTTAAATACAATTGGTTGACTGTTACTCGTAAACTTATAAAGGCAACGAATGTATAAGTTTTTCTTTTAACTTCGTTATATAAAGGTATTACTGACGGAATATTTGAATTTTTACCAATGACCGTTTATAGAGGGGGACACTTGCTTCTTACGAAACTTAGGTCTTTAAAGTTTAATAACTCACGAACAGTTTACTAAATCGAGAAACTGCTACCCTATGTTTTTGAAAACCCTATCCAGCGATGCCCCACACTATGGTGTCTATGAAACAAAATTATCATCCCCACTTTTATATGTAGGAAATGTACCCTATATTTTTTTTTTATTTTTCGTAATTAACGTGTTTACTGATGCCAAATTACAACTTTCGAGTACCAAAAGATTTGAGCTAAACCGCGGACGGATGGATAGACAGACGGATATAGCGAAACTATAAGGTTTCCTTGTTTACTACAGAACCCTAAAAGCATTTATCAGATGTCTTAACGCTCCAATCCTATCACATTCATCGTTGTATCAAGCTCATAGGAGCTCATTATATGATGATTGCGTTAACTGATAACCGATGTCATTGAACGCCAATAAAGTTTAATTTGGTTATAATTATTGATAAAAATATATTTTTTAACTTGTAATAACATAAAAATCAGTAGATAAGTGTTGTTGCTTCATCTCACAGACATGTCTAATTCTTTATTTATTTATTTGTATGTTTGTTTTTTAATTCTCTTATATAACCTAGATTGGTCCGTTTTACGGGACACGTCATTGCGATACTCAATTATAACGTAAGCAGTAATGTCCGTTTTTAAGAACATCCAAAAACCTACTACTCATATTTTTTTTTCTTTTGTTTTGTTGTTGTATTGCATTCATCTAAACATTTGTATCAATAGAACGTAGCCTGCTTTTGATAATCTCAAACAGTCGTTTACAACTTGATTCACGTCCTTAAACGACTGTCATGACTATTCCATTATACCACTCAAAATCTTATTTAATCGCTGTATAATATATTTGATTAATTTTGCATTCACAATGCTATACTTGAAATTATTCTTAATGAAAAATGTTTAAAATAATCCACTTCACTCCTAGCAGTCTGAGATGGAACTCGAACCCATCGCTGAACATTTAGCATTATGAAAGCATATGCACAACAAATAATATCATTAAAGGAATTGAAATATATTACATTCAGTGTAAAGAGGATTGAATGTAGTCACTACTCCCCCAGCAGCAAGTATACCAAATGTCACAATGGGATACTCAGGAATATTATGTGACATTACACCGATAACATCACCGTTTCCAAGTTTAAACTTTTTAATGAGGTTCGTAGCTAAAGTACGTGACTGTATATAGATTTCTTCGTAAGTGTAACTTCTGTTGGTAACACCGCATACCTGAAAATAATTTACACTGAAATAATTAACCATCCATACACTTGGTCTGTTTTTGTTCGCCAAGAAATAACGGGACATACACACATACGACATTTTAATTCATTATAATGAAATTAAATAACTAAGTCACCGTAGATATGTTAGTTTCGTCAAATTACAATCTAATCTATCTTAGATTTTATTAAAAAATATCGCAGCTTTAAACGTACATCTAAAGATTTTAATGTAACGTAACAAATTATAAAATAAACCATTATAATTTAACCGTGACGTAGAATTGGTTTGGAGCGGAAGAACTGCACACAGAATTATCACACTGAATATAACTAAAAAGGACCTTAATTTATTGTGCAAATTCAATAATTTAAAATAAATAAATAAAATAAGAAGCAATCTCCTTCCTTGCAAGATCTACCAATTAATATTACCCAATAAAGGAATAGTTCATAAGATTATAACTGAAATTTATAAACTATCTCTAGGAAGATATCAAAAGGGAATTTTATTATTCAATTTTGATTCAAACGAAAGATTATCGACATGAAACCGACATACCACAGCTGTTTTTGTCGGCCATTTTTCCAAATTGCGCCAAACGTATTCGTCTACAGTTAACTCCGGTACGACAATATCTTTGAATGGTGATTTTACCACGTTATCACTTGTCCACACATGCTTAAATCTTACAACACTTGGAACTTTATATAGGTTGCTAAGAATTTTATTGAAACGTAGAGTTAGTATCGTCATAATTGTAGCGAGATCACATAACATGTGGCATTTGTTTTTATCTCTCAATTACCGACAATATTTTTATTAAGAAACAGATAAGATAATTTGGGAATAGTTCAGTTTGCCTGGGTACTTTGGCTTTGAGTGGACATTATCTATAGTTATAAAAAACGTATTTTTTTATATTTCATATCTTAACTTTAATTATCGTATCATCATATTAATTTATTTGTGTAAGAAATAAGAAACAGAGATGGTTAAATAAAGAAATTGTAGATTTACATATATTTACTTTTAATTTGACAATACATTTCTACAAGCAAAAAATTGTATTTATAAATACACTTATTTATAAGAATAGACTTTATATAGTCCCTTAATAAATAAATTACACTGCTCATACAGTTTCTCTTCGGTTGGAGGCTGGCATTTGGGCGGTCAGAAAAGCAGCTACATTTATATAAGTTGGTCACATGACGTCTGCTCTCCCTCGCCCTCGAGCACAACTCTACGGCTTGGAGCGGCTGTATTAACATTAAGGACTATTTTAATTAACAAAAAGGACTATTTTAAAACACCTACCCAGTACGTTTGTACATTACTTCTAAATTATTTATTAACATTAAATATTCCGGCGTAAATAGCAGCCTATATCGTCCTGACGAAAGATGGCGCTTCCCGTTAGTAAAAGAATTTTTTATATCAGATATGATTTTAACTGAAGTAATTACGGTTAAGGCAGACCTATCCAAAAGTGCACAATGCCTTCAGACATTCCTTCAACGTTGTTATTTCATTCTTTAGCAAATGATGCAAAATCTTGTAAATGTATGAATAGGTTGCATGATAGACAACCATTCAGCCCAATTATTATAATATAATGGAGAACTACACAGCCTACTGGTTTTTGGTGCATAAAAGTTAAAATCTACCCAATTCTACCCGAAGCCATGTAGGAACTGTCAGTCGCTGTGGTAAGTTATAACTCGGAACAAAAAAATATGCTTGTGAATCAGATGCTCTTTTATAATCCGATAAAGTAATGGTCTGTATAGGTTTTGGAATATTAGAAGGAACTGTTACTCTACCTGCTTGCTGCCAATATAGAAGTCAGATGCGATCAAATCCATCCACCTAAAAGAGTATAATATATTATCAAATTATTTGTCAACTAAATGTTACTTAAACGATATGGCAGCGATATATTAATGTTTTACTTATCATAAAGGAAGCTTAATTATAGTAAAGTTATCATAATATATAAAAATAACTATAATCCTACCTGTCGTGAGGATATCCAATCAATAATAATATTTCTAATGTGTATTTCTCCGTCTTATTCTCTTTAGTTAAATAATCATATCAAGTTTATATTACTTAAAGCGATTTATTGAGATGTTTATGAAATGTATCTAATAATTCGTTTGACTCCTTTTTAAGCCTCAACCTCATAAACACATCTTACTTTTTTAATATGGGATTAGTTATTGGTTGGTTATTTTGTAGTGGTAAATTACAATTTATTTATGTCTCACAAATTCCTTGCTCCTTTAAGTACATTAAAATTTGGGCATATGTTACAATTCTTGGTGAATATTTAAGGTATGTTATATTTTGATTACAGATGAGAAATTTTATTTTTGTGGCATTGACCATTTGTTGATACTCTGTTTTCTAACGTATTCTGGTTGCTGATAATAATACTTTTATCTCACTTATAAAACCTATTCGGTTCTATTGACGCAATATGAGATCATGAAATGAAAATTTTTAAAGATTTCAACGTTGTTGTTATAGTATAATTTTTCAAGAAAGCAGAAAGATGGTAATTATAATCGATATACAAATCTGATTTTATACAGTTTGCCAAAATTTCTAAAGTAAAGTTTCAAGGACGTTTTCGAGGTCTCTTTCATATAATTACTGTGCAATTAATGATATTTGAACACCGATTTATAAATACTTATTCAGAGATACCAGATTACACAATTTAAGTCAATCTGGATCATATATTCGAAATATAACAAAATATTATTTTTTTTAATAAAAAGTCAATAAAATAGCACTACAGATATTTATTTAATATAATAAATTTTACATTTAAAATCATAATAATCAATTATTTATCATACAATAATATTTGAAAACAAGATTCTGATCTGATTAAAAATGTTTATTGAACGAAACGATAGGATATTTCAAACATTCTACAGACTGGTACTTGAGATAGTTCTTTATTTCAAAACTGTTTCTCTGATAGCTATAAACAAACTACGATATTTATTATAAGATCACCAGAAAATTTACCACGGTTAATGAGTTAGCCGAAACAAAAACAAGAATTTCCATAAGCAGCTCGTTACCAAAAAAAACAACATGTTTAATTTGTTTTTTTTTTTTTTGTTATCGAGCTGCTATTTATTTATTAAAACAAAAGGTTTTTATTTTTATCTAAGTGTTCTATAGCACTTTTTTTGCTATGACTACACATTGATAAAGTCGGGTTTTGCTCCCCTTACAACCATATAACAAGTTTGAATGCAAGTGATAAATATTATAGATAGACCTTCAGAAATAAAGAATCAGGATCTTTTAATCCGACTAGTGCAAAAGTAGTTTAGTAATCTAAACTACTTTTACAAGTTCACGACATTGTAATCTGTGCCTAATTATTTTTATCGCAACATTTTTCGCAATATTTTCCCAGATACACTCTTTGGTATACTGTCAACGAATACTATATCCCTAATTTTTTTATACGGCGCTACACGTTTTGAGACGAAATCAATGATTTCTTGTTCCTTCACTTTGACACCTGGAGTTGTTACCACGAAGGCCTTAGGTCTTTCTCCTAGATTAGTATCCGGTATTCCAATTACTGCAGCGTCATGAACTGCTGGATGTTCTTTCAATACATTCTCCAGTTCAGCAGGAGGGACTTGATAACCTTTTACCTGAAATATTTGATTGTATTTTAAAAAGATATTTGTATCATGAAGATAAGAGGCGATGTCTTTATATACAAAAAAGTAATAAATTGTTTTTTCAGTATAGCATTGTGAATGTGAAATTGATAAACATAGAAAAAAGTAATGAAGTTATCGTTACATTTTTTTTATAACAAATAGATATATATTTAACACTAATCAATTATGATTGATACACGCACTCAGTTACTACGAGTACATTTATGGTTATGGTTCTTCTGGATTATTGCCTGTCAACTGTCTTTAATTCAATTAGGTACCCTAATTGAATTAATTGAATTAGTTCATGATTCATTATTATAAATTCATATGAGAACATGAATTTTTAATAGATTTAAGAATTAAATACGTAGGCCGTTAGTAGAGATCACATTATTACCTTTATTAGTTCTTTCAATCTATCAGTAACGTAAACAAGTCCAGACTCGTCAATATTTGCTATATCTCCGCTTCTATACCATCCACCTTCAGCGAATACTTGGTTGTTTGCTACTGGATTATTTCTATACCCTTTCATTACGTTCGGGCCTTTTATTAATAGTTCACCAGCCTGTGATATTTATAAAAATTGACGATTATTCAATGACTAAACTTAGCGAATAATAAATTGATAGGTCAACAAAAAGTAGAGATGAAAAATGTCATATTTATATTAGAATCTCAATTGCTTAGTATTAGAATTTTAATGATAATGAAATTGAAAAAATAAATGAATTGGCATTAAATATTGAAAAATCAAAAGCTCATTAGGTAGATAGCCTCGTGTGCTCTTGAGTATTTGTTGTAATCTATCTTATAATATATTTAATGCAATATAGCTCTAAAAGCATTATTGTATCCGCTAACAAAAATTTAACCATAAGGATTTATAAACTTACTTGACAGGGGCCCAAATTTTTCATGTTATCGTCAACTACCCTCAGTTTTATATTCGGGAGTGGATAGCCAGCAGATTCATAGTTCGTACGATCAGGAAGAGTCATTGTTACCAAGGGACCCGCCTCCGTCATTCCATATCCTTGGGTTATTATTAAATTGCTCTGGAAAAACAACAGTGGTAAAATATTGAATCCATAATCTTTCGTAAAAAAATAAACTGACAATATTTCTCCGATAAATTTCAGTTTGTTTAGTCGAGTTTTAACGGGCACTAAATAGACAATCTATTTCTGGACTCGCAATGAAGCAGAAATAAAATCTCTAAAATCTTGGAATATTGTACACTTCTTGGAGACTATCAGGTGAAAAACAATATTGTAATTCAAATCACATGTCTATCATAGCTTAGTTATTTATTTAATAAAGAATAATGTCACTTATTTATTAATTTTAATACTATAAATAAAAACGAGTAAGTTTTTTATTACTAACATTTTGAGATCTTGATATCATTTTTTCTGCATCAGCAACCGGTAACGGCGCTGCGCCTACAGTAATAGATCGAACTGATGCCAGATGTTCGGGTGTAACTTGAGGACTTGTCCCCAAGAATAAAACTGTAAATGAATAATATATGCATGGGTATTATTGCTCTTGGCTCTTCTTGTTTCTTTCATTTTTACGTCATATATCGGATTTGTCATTCTATTGTTTTGTACAACACAGCATGCTTCAGTCAATTTTTAGACCGACATTAACTTTCACGTCAACTTTTAGGACTTGCGTCGTCATTAACAATGTGACTACGAGCTTAGCTCCACAAACTTTGCGTAACAAATGTAACCAACTGCATTTATTTATTATGATTTACAGATAAACATAGATGCTATATAGCATAAGTTAATAAGAATTTGATTCCTGTAATTTAAATTTATATAACTCAACTTAAATAATAAACATTATCATAATGGTATGTTGCTCAGATTCTGAAATAAGTAACTTAAAACATTATCTTATAGAAATCTGGATAACAAAAATACCCCAATCACCCGACAAGGAACGTTATGGCAAGCATTATTTTCTATATTAATATTAACAAAATCAAATTTAGAGCTTCAGAAATGAGTTTTAAATTGATATTTAAACTACTTCGCCAAGAATGTCAAAATGTAGCTAAAATAAATAAAATAGTCAATATAAAAATTACCCATCGGTGGAACTAGGTAAACAATGTTTGAACGGTGTACTTTAAGAGAATTTAAAAAAGTATCTGGCTGAAATTTAGGTAGAGTTAATAGTTTCACTCCGGCGGACATCTTATGTAACATTATTATTCCCAATCCATACAAATGGAATAAAGGAAGTATTACAAGTGCAGTATCTTGATGTGTTTCTGAAATTAAAATTGTTATAAAGTGAATACGATTTAGTAGATAGAATAAAACTGTTTTTTTTTTTTGTTTTTGTATTTTATATAGAATCAATTATAGCCAATATCAATTATAGACGTAGCTACCCTTAAGTGGAAGAATTTTTAAAATCAGTCTAGTGGTTACGGAGCCTTTTCTATGCAAATAAACAAATATTTAAGATCTGCTTGAAATAAACTGTTTAAAATGTGATAAAAAAATTACCCAGAATAACTCAAATACCTGAAAAGTGGGTTAGGTGGTTTTGTAACTGGCAAGCAAAAAGTATTTTGCGATTGTTGTCCAAATCAAACGTCTTCGTTTGACTGTCATTGGCAGCACTATAATAAGATCTTAAAATAAGAATGCATAATTTTCATAAGATATTTAAAAGTAAGAAAAACGTACCTTTTGTATAACGGTACTGCCTTATACCAGTGTTTTGCTGTTCAAAGTTAGCAACGAGATTTCTATTCGTCAGTTCTACACCTTTAGGTAAGCCTGTGGTACCACTTGAATATGGTATGATTGCAATATCACTTGGCGTCCTATTTACTTGTTTTAAAATACTTAGATCTATATGATTATCTTCTACGAGCTCCTGAAATGACGTCACATTCTCTAGTAAAGGTTTATCCTTTCTTATAGATATAATAGGAATATTTTTCTTAGCGTGTTTAAATGCTTCTTTAACAACGGGAATATAATCTTCGTATGCTATCATCAGTTTCACATCTGATAACTCCAATTGCCTTTGAACTTCATCTGAAAAATTAATTGATTTATCTGTGGTATGTATATAGATATTTTGGGTTATCTCATCTACTGTAGCTATTTTATCCGTTGTACAAAATAAAAAATCTGTCTAGTTATTATTAATTTCACATGATTTTTTTTTTTATTAATGTAATTGTCATGTTTTTACCTACTTCTTTTTTTGACGCTGGAAATGCATTACTGCATACCCCGGGTCGCCAGCACGGCTAGCCGGGGTTATGTGGCGATCCCCTCTGCGGACCCGCCCCAGAATAGAGCTAGTCAAAGAGCAGGAGTATGCCCACTAAAAACCAACGATATCCCTCGCATGGTAGGCGATGCACGGGATCGGCCCTAGGCCATACACCGCGCGATTCGCCCCCATTTCGGCACGCCCTGAAAAGGGCAGGTCCCTCTGCGAGTTGAGAGTACGTCTCAGAGACATTCGAGATGGACCCCCCAGACAAGGCGGAGGCGTGCAATGCGCTACCAGGGCGCAAACCGGTCAGGCTGCCGCTGACTAGAGACCGGAGATGCGCAACTGTGCAATCTCCAGTCCTCTACCCATCTGATTGGGAGGACCCACACAGGCAGAGCCCTTATTGTAGATCCTCCCCCCCTCCCCCGTAATGTTTTTACTTCTTGAATTATTGTAACTAGATTTTTCAAATGAGACTTAATTAAAATATAATAAAAAGTAGAGCTCAAAAACATCATCGATTAAAACATCGTTAATAGAAATCTTTTCACGGAGCTGAACTATCTTATCATTATCACCAATCTATTAATATCCCCACTGCTGGGGCTCAGGCCTTCCCTATTGACGGAAACTAATTGAATCGAACAAGGATAATGACCATGCAGGTGCGTTGCTGATTGGTAAATATTAAAGACTGCGGATGCAGCTTGGACCAACGGCTTAACGTGCACAGAGGAGCTCGAGATAATACATTTTTGGTCAGCCATGGCGAAAATTGCTTAACAACCGTATCTCATACCAAGCTCGCTAACCACTACACCGTCGAGAAATAACTAGTTATTATTAATTCAAACAACTTCATAAACATATTACGTTCTGTGTAAAGAGGATTAAATGTAGTCATCACTCCTCCGGCAGCAAGTATACCAAAAGTAATTGTGGGATATTCAGGTATATTGTGTGATATTACACCGATCACATCACCATTTTGTACTTTAAACTTTTTAATTAGATTCGCAGCTAAAGTCCTTGATTGTTTGTATATTTCTTCGTAAGTATAACTTCTGTTAGTAACACCGCAAAACTGAAAAGATTTTACATATTATTAGCATACACTTGACCTTAACATCTTCGTTTGTCCAATTTTAATTATAAGAAAAAGGTGTATTTTCCATTGGTCCCTCAGAACTCAAAGAGCCAAAGACAAAGTCAAAATAATCTTTATTCAAATAGACTTCTTTAAAGTACTTTTGAATTGTCTAAAAAATTTTACCCTACCAGTCTTTGGCCTTTGGCTGATAAGAAAAACGATCAAGAAACTCGCCAGCTCTAATGGGAATAATGACATTCACAAAAACCATGTCATTACCAAATCAATACATTATAAATCGAGAAAAAACTATGATCTTATAATGATAATGATAACTTTAATAATTATGACAACAAGATTATTTTTGAGATATAATGAGTTTATAGAAATGACCTATCCAGTTGCTGGACCATCTTGAGTCCAAGCATTCTATTGTCTGTTTTATAATCGGATACCTTATAATAAGCTTTTTTTAATAAATGTATTTTTAATAGGTAGTAGATTTAAACTGCATGATATCAAATTGTTGTATTTTGCTTAGGGTCTTATTGTGAAAGCGCACACAAAGACCAATTGAATGATTTATTAACTTTTTGCAGTCTACTAAGGGCACCGTTACGTTATATTTATTCCTTGTAATAAAATTGTGTGCATCACTTTTTATAGAAAACAATCTAATATTTTTACGAACGTTCATTAAGTTCTCGTATATCTCGTATTGAGAAGCAACAGTCATTATGTCTATTTCTTTAAAATTCTCCCTTAATGTTCCGTAACCTAAGATTCTAAATTGATCTAATTGCTGTTTTCTGAAGCGCAAAAATCGTTTGTATGTCAACAGTATTTCCCCACAATAAGATATGACATTACACCATGAAAGTAACTGAAGTATACTAATCTGGCAGTATCTATGTCAGTTAACCTACGTATCTTCATTACGGTATATGCTGCAAAGCTAAGTCTATTCCACAATTTATCAATATGTGGGCCCCACTGTAGTTTAGAATTTAATGCTATTCCTAAAAATATTGTGGTATCTACAAGGGCCATGTTCTTTTAGAGGTAGCCCTCTAAAAGACAATGTGAAAAATTCTTTCTTCCAGGTAGTGAAGTGTCATCCACAAACAAAACTATTCCATGAGTATCCCTTACGAAATAAGGCAGTCATTTATATAAATTAAAAATAAAAAAGACCAAGTATTGAGCCCTGCGGAACACTCATATTGACTTTTGATCCAGGGGATCTTCTATAATAGTGAAACTTCCTAATCAATATTTCACGAAAAACACAATCAAATGCCTTAGATAGGTCACAGAAAACACCTTACACATTATGTAATCTTCCCAAACATTCAAAATTTCTTGTATTAACTCTACACCGGCTGCGATTGACGAGGGACCCCTTGTAAAATCAAATTATTGTCGATTCATACGGTTATACTTGCAAAAGTATGTTTGTATTTAATCCAGTATGATTTTAAAATTAATCTAACTAAACGTAGATAGCATGGATATTGGTCTAAAGTTAGTAGGGTCAGAGGTGCAACCCGATTTATATTAAGGAATAATTTTACTATATTTCATGAGCACAGGAAAAATATCACAATCAATACATTCTTTAAAAGCTAGGATTGGAGCTATTGTCTCAATCATCGATTTGGAAACGTCAATGGAATTACCTCATAAATCAGCGGTTTTCTTTTTCTTTAGCTGATTAAAACATTTTACGAGTATTATATCTTTAAAATAAATGTATTGAAACTTAAATTGGCTATTACAATTATTTAAATTTGTCTTAAAAAAAACGTACAAAATAAATAATTTATAGAAAAACAAAAAAGAATAGGCCCCGACTGTGAGTCGTTCTGTTCTGTATTAGAATTTATGATTCGTTTTATGTGTGTATCAATTATAAAACTATTTCAATTGTGTAGTTATTTAGTATAACTTAATATATTTCTAAACTACAGGGCTTGTTTCTTTCTTTTTAGTTTTTTATATAAGTTAATTTTTTCATGTATTTTTAAAAAATCGTTCTCACGCAGTCGGGTTTTTTGTTTTTCTTTAAATTATTTATTTTTATTTTATATTTTTTAGTTACGATTCGTTGATTCGTTACAAGATGGTAAATTTCGCAATCTAGTCATTTCATTGAGGGAGTTAATATTGTTTGTTAAACAACTTTAAAACGCTATATATCCTAAACTAATATATTATATAAAGATGATTCATCAATTTTTTTTTTCATTTTGACAATATGGCGTCTGGTTGTCGCTGTGGTGAATTTTGATTACTGTCATGTCTTTAGTGACACTCGCAAGGTTAAGACGAATCGACTGACGTAAGAATCATTACAATCAGCCTACGTCTAGAACGCCACATATAAACAAACATACATACATACATAGACTGATAAACACACTACCCTCCTTTGTGTCGCGCGGTCGGGTAAACATAGGTAGGTATTTTGAAGTCTAGATCTTAAAGCTTAACTCCTTGCAAGGTAATCAGAGAGAATAGAGTTCTACAATGCACAGTCATTCGATTTTAAAGTTCACATTTAAATTCAAAATTCCATATAATTTATTCTGTCGGGATTGTTAAAGTATGTAAATATCACTTTTATATATCTAGAAACTACTCTATCTTATGGCTGGTTTATACAAATTCAAATTGAAAAGTAGTTTTATTGATAAATAAATAGAAAATTTAACTGTAAGTTATTTATGTGTGTGTTTCCACGCACTTATTTACTTAAAATTAAGTTAACCGCATATCAACTTAATACATGTAAACCAGTCATTATAAAATTAAATAACAATTTAGATAAGTAAATCTACAAGAAACTCAGAAAGAATAACACAAAATTAAAAAAAAAACTTAGCATTACTTGTTTTTTTCGCCTTTTTAGTTTCACGGGGTTCGCCAAACTTTAAAAGTTTGAAAAATTTTTTGTGTGACTTTGCTACGCCCGCATGGCTTACACGATGTTATATTTTAATAATTATAATAATAATCCTGGCTTTGAATGACTCAAATATCAAATGTTATCAAAATCCGTTAATTGTGTGTTAGGGGCGAAGTAACAAACATACAAACCTACAAATTTCCACCTATAATCTCAACACTTACTTGCAAAATCTTAATTTTTCGTTATTAACTAATCACAATTTTAATTGTGCTATTAAATGTTTGTAATATTAAAAACAAAAACATACCGCAGCTGTTTTCGTCGGCCATTTTTCTAGATTACGCCAAACGTATTCGTCTACAGTCAACTCTGGTACGACAACATCTTCGAATGGTGATTTTACCACGTTATCACTTGACCACACATGCTTAAATCTTACAACACTTGGTACATTATTTATGTTACTAAGAAGTTTATTTAAGCGAAGAGCTCGAAGCGTCATCCTCGTTGGCCAACCGGTTTCTTTATGAACCTTTTCAACTAACTGAATAGGTATTTTTTTATGTCGGTTATTTACTTAATAACAATTAATAAGTTATTATTGTAGATATGTGAGAGTGCACATAAGATAATGTTTACTTAGATAATCTCGTAAATTTTTTGATCTATCTATGAAATGCGTATTGTATGATAATATTGTTAATACCTAGATATCTGATAACTCGTTTGACTGCTTTCTAATTCGTAATGTTATGAGCGAAGTAAAAGATTTTGTTTCTTTAAGTTTTTTAGTTAGTGTGAATTATGTATTTGTTAAAAATGTCACAAATATGACACAATGTTGTGCCATTGAAATTGGATTGATGACCGGCATTTTTTAATAATAAACAATAATTAACATTGTTTTTTTATTTATTCTGTTATGTTAAATATTAAATTGTTATGTTATGTTTAATTTTTAACATTTGTATAATTTAGATAATTTTTATTACAATGGTTGTACATGAAACCTTGACCCTTAGTATAATATATTTTGTACGTTACTACTAATAAATGATTTTCTTCGTTCTCAAAAAGAAATTGCCACTTGTCTATTATTTTAATTCGGTAATTTTCATTGTAAAGCAAGTTTCGAATTTCAATTTTAGTCATATTTTTTTTTTATGGAATAGGGGGCAGACGTACAGACGGATCACCTGATGGTGAGTGATTACCGCCGCCCATGGACACCTGCAACATCAGAGGAGCTACAAGCGCGCTGCCGGCCTTTTATTGCTTGAGGCATACAAAGTTTTAATAAATTAAGTACAGGAGTTCACGCTAAATGTAGTGTTAAATACTCATGTAATAAATAATTATAAAAATTAAAAGTTGGAATCTTTTTTGAAATTTCCCGTCGCGCGTTCCACGAAGAGGCAACGTTATTTCAAAATTAATATTTAAAAACTGTCTTTTAAAATCACGTTTTTTATGGAATCCAATGCTAGTGGAATCGATGTCAATGTAGAATCACTATGCTGTAACTGTATCACAAGTTTAGGTTTACTTGTGACAGAGCCTGCAAAGGATCCAAAAGGTTTACAAATTAAATGAATACCTATAACAATTATCTGTGTAGCTCGGTGGCGTAGTGGATAAGCGCCGCGGCCCGCGATCGTTGTCGTTAAGTAACTTTCGCAAGGATCGGTCACGGGATGGGTGACCAAAAATTATTATCTCGAGCTACTCCGTGCTTCGGAAGGCACGTTAAGCCGTTGGTCCCGGCTGCATTTGCAGTCGTTAATATCCTCGAATCCGCAGCGCGGAGGGTCATGGCCCATCCTCCTTAACCATCCGTAAGGAAGGCCTGAGCCCCTGCAGTGGGGACGTAAAAGGGCTGGTAATGGTAATAATGGTAATGGTGCAAAAAAAATATCATCGGTTGTATTTTTATTCCTTTATTATTGATATAGCAGCAAGAGACATATATTATTTGTCAAACTATCACGTTTCATAAGATATAGCCTGGTGACAGATGAACAGTTGAGTATTATTAATAGGGTCCTACTTTTAACCTTTAGTTACAGAACCCTGATAGTTTAAGTGTTAACGACAGAATATGCAGCCGGTACCAACTGCTTCACGTGCCTTCCGGAGCACGGAATAGCTCGAGATAATAATTTTTTGGTCACCCATCCCGTGACCTACCGCTGCGAAAGTTGCTTAGCAATAACGATCGCAGATATATAACTTAATATTACATATGGAAATGCAGTTTAATTTAAAAATTATTAAAACACATTTTCTTATTTAAGCAATATTTTTATTCCCCAATAATATCAAGAATAATACGAGTATATTAAAAAAGTAACATGCATTTTATACAGACTTACTGTGTAATAATAAAAATGATACTAATTTTCAATAATGGTTATTTATAAAAATAAATGGAAAATTTGTATATTACCGTTTAAAGTTACGTCAAAAAAACTATTTTTAATTAAAACAAACAAATGAACGAAAATGACAATTTCATATAACGAATTAAAACTTATCGAGGAATTACCACTACTAACAATAAGGTTTCTAATTTATATTTAACTGCACTTAAAAAAATCTTAATAATATGATAAAAAATTATTAAAATAATCAGACATTTTGACAATCACACAATTTAAAGATGTTAATAACGAATGATCTAAACTTCTGGAAATGCATAAAATGAAAATACTCTTCAAAATTTAATTGAATCTATAAAAAAAACATTTCGCTTCGACTACAGACTGTTTACTTTTATTTCTAAGTTTAGTATAACCTAGAAACCAATAACTGAAGTTATACTTATTAATATATTATTAGGGATTAGAAGAAATAAACGCCTATGAAAACATTTATTCGCAAAATATGAAAAATATATATATTCGATAATAATAGCCGATATACTATTCAATAAAATACATTAGAATCCCCTATAACCTCTTTCCGCAACTCCATCGTCTCTTTTTAGCTGCCCTCCACTGGATTTTGAATCAAATCATGTGAACATTACAATAATTTTATACCCTCTAGTTTTTATAGGAATGTACCCTATACCTATATATCAGAGTACGAGTTTTCCGATATATCGGAATCGGTGATATTATTTGCCGATACACCGATATATTTATAATTTCGATCGTTACAGACATAACCTATGTGAATATGTCTCACATAGCCCATTTTGCCAGTTGGTTTTGGTATCTGATAATTTTCATTTGTTAGGTAAGTACTAGTAGTTGTGATTGTTGTTACGTGATTTTTTAGTTTTATACCATTCTGTATCTTTCAAACTTTCTTTTTCTTCGCAATCTGTATCGGGACCATATTAACTGGAACCGCGGTCCCAGTTGCCAGATTGCTTCAATTTCCATTTTATTCTTCCAGCGACTGGAACCACGTACGTAAAAAGGTCTTTTGTTCAAGCCAAAACAGTACAGTCAAACAAAAAAAGTTTTAAAGTAATTAATAATGAAAGGAAAAACACTTTTTGTTTCAAAAACATTTTACATATCCAGTAAATAAATTATATTGTTTAATCAAAGTTTAAATTTAACGGCAATAATTTATTTCCTTAGACTGTACAGGTTTTGGATTGAACAATAGATGTATAAATATTCATTTATGTATAGGTCTGTTTGCCGGAAATCACCGTATCGGTATCGTATCGGCCGAAGGGCGTGTTGTTTGTTTTAATATTTGCCGGATTTGTGAGATTCTACTGTACTTACGTTCAGTCTAATTCATAATACATATTCTAGTTCACACTTAATCTAAAAGTCATAGATATATTTTAACATCAATCAATGTATATATTACTCATAAGTGTTCAAAAATTGCACGTTGAGCATCAATCAACAGCTGCTGATAGTTTTGCCGTAATTATTTACATAATATATATAATTAGATATTCGATATATATATTCAATATAATTATATTCAATATATATATATCAAACATAACATTTAACGAGTTAACAACTTATCAAGAATAATTTCGTATTATCATTTCAACTGATGTCACAAAACTTTTGGAATGAAAAATTTACAAAAATGCAGCCTGGAGGTATATACATCGACTTCTTTCCGAATTTCACGAACTAACTATAATGTAACAGTTCCACAAAATATAGACTTGAATTTCAAAAAAATTTACCAATAAACATTAATTTTATTACTTTAAACACTATTGTTCCCTTTACGTGTTTGTGGCTTTTAAGTCTTTCCGTAATATTTTGCCAGCAGAACTCTTCGGTATTTTATCTAAAAATTCAATTTCTTCTACTCTCTTGAATGGTGCCACTTTCTCTTTAACAAAGTTTTTGATTTCTTTCGCTTCAACTTTCTGCCCTTCCTTGAGTACAACGAATGCTTTAGGTACTTCGCCTTTGACTTCATGTGGTATCCCCACCACAGCTGCATCGAGGATTGCTGGATGTTCACGAAGCACCGCTTCTAATTCAGCTGGAGGAACTTGGTATCCTTTAACCTGTTATTGGACTAAAGGCTTATTTCTTTGTTCATAAATATTTATCTATGGATTAAAATAATATTCTATAATAAGGAACAAGGGCATAATACCAACAGTTGTAAGTTAAGAGTTATTACAAAAGTTATCTCCTTATACTATTTGATTCGGCTCCATCCATAGTGAATGTTTATGACTGTACCAATTGACAATTATGGACTGATTATAATTATAAAAAATAAGGTTTATTGAAAGAAAATTATACATGAATGTACTTATTTGTTCTAAAAGGGGAGTGAAGCATTTCTTACTTAACTAACAAATGCAAAATCACTGTCTGCATTAATGTAGTAATCGTAGTCAGTCAACAAACCGAAGAGTAAATGAAAAGGAAATAATTGCGTTGGATGAGTATAGTTAGTTCCAAATTGCAATTTTAAGACAATTCGGAACGAAATAATGAAGTAAAAACATGTAAGCCTGCGAATAATGGATTTCAGACCATATTATTTTACGGAAAAAATGAATTTTCATACAATTTAATTGATCTCTTTTTAAAAGAATAATGATTTATTAAAAGCTTTTTCACTCTTATTAGATTGGTAATGATGAATGTTGACGATTAGCTAATATTATTAAGTCTTCACTGCAGCGTCATCAATTTTGTCTATCAATTAGGCCACATACGTAAAAAGGGCTATAACTCACAATTGTAGGTACAGCCGGGACCAATCGAGAGATCAAACCGGGACCAAAGAGTTTGACGTACCTTCCGAAACACAAAGGAGTTCAAGCTAATAACATGACTAAAGTTACGATCACAGACCAAGTAGCATTGAGCTTTCAATTTTTTACCTTTATGAGTTCTTTGAGTCTGTCTGTAATAGTGATGAGACCCTTTTCATCTGCCATAGCTACGTCACCGGTTCTAAAGTATCCATCCACAGTGAAAACTTCACTATTCGCTTTCGGATTGTCTCTGTACCCTTTCATCACCTGAGGTCCTCTGAGTAGCAATTCACCAGCCTACAACATGGATTTGCGTAAAGTAATTGAATAACTCATTATTATTATTAAACAAACAGATCAAAGAGTGGTGAACACAGACTTTGAATGCGCAGAAGTCGAAAATATAGGCAAGATTATTTATGGGTAGTTTAAAGATTTAAATATCCGAATGCCTTTAATATTAAAAATTTGGTTTGTTTTATCAGATTACTAAAATACCTATATTGTTTCTCCAAATTACTTTATATTTCCTTATAGAATAATCTAGAAGACAATTTCAGCATTCCATATTTTATTACTTTACTGGTATGATTTTAATATAAACTCGTGCTTTCTACCTGATTTGGACCGACAGGTCTAAGGTTGTCGTCAACAATCTTAGCTTCTGTATTTGAGACGGGATATCCTATCGTCTGATAATTTTCTATGCCCACTGGTGGCATAATGGCGAGAGGTGAAGTTTCGGTCAAGCCATACGCTTGTCTGACGTCAGCTTTTCTCTGGAATTAGAAATAGGGGTGAGCCATTACAATTTTTGATTGTTTTATTTGTAAATTAATAAATATCAAAAGAATTCTACTAAAGTAAAAAGTACGTACTGTTACTGTACGTACTTTTTCTGAAAACTATATTTTGGATTACATAAACACCTTATTAATAATATGCTTACTAAAAACAAAATGATGTTATTTATACATGACTAGCTTTCCGCCAACGGTTTCGCCCGCGTGGTACTTAGGGAACTGTTTATTTGGATATCGATTTATATCATGACATTAATATAATTACAATGACAAATGAAATAATAAACAATCGTTACTATGGTAAGGTTTTAATTCCCTATACAAAATTTAATTCCCATTTTCGTCCCTCTGTTTGCTGTTTTTCGGGAAAAAATATAGCCTGCTCACCGCATATGATGTAGCTTCCCGTAGGTGAAATAATAGCTACCGTGCTACTAATAAACAAGGTTTAGCGTCAGAGTAAATTTACGCTAAAATTGCATATTTAGTTTTGGTCCAAATTCATATAATACAGAGAATAAGCAAAGCTACTACCTTCTAGGAGTAAATATTACTGCCGTAGAACCTCGTACTAGGTTCTATTTAATAATATGATTTCTGACTAATACTATGTGCAGTCTCAACGTATATTTACTCCAACGCTTAACCTTGTTTATTAGTAGCACGGCTAAAATCATTCCAATAGTTTTAGAGCCTATTCGTTGCAAGCAATCATTAACATTTTCCCTCTTTATAATATTAGTATATATATTACATAATACTTTACAATTTAATTGAGTTATATTTAGAATAATTCTAATAAAGTTCAGCTTACGTTTAGTTTATTTAAAAATCTTTCCACATCTTGGCTACCTAATGGTGCAGCACCATTGATAACAGTTCTTAAATGTTGCAGCGTCTCTGATGTGCTTGCTGGGTGAGCTCCCATTAATAATACTGTGAATAAATATAAAGCATACATATATATGCTACATAATACATAATACATCACTTAATAAACATTCTCCGAAAATGATCACTTTGCTTTAACTAACAGTAGGCTTTTTTTTAGAATTAAACTAATCTAAAAACAGTCGTTTTCTATTCGGGTGTTTAGATTTTTTGTAAAATTTATTACAAATCTTGTATATCTACAAAACTACCAGTGGTCTCTTTATCAGATGATATCTGTACCAGTTATAAAATATAGGTGTAGCAAAAACATTGAATTTAGGCTAATATAGGTACATAAACTAATTCAAAACAATAAATAAACATGATATTGGTAATTCTAAATATAATCAGATATATTTTCAAGTTTTTATAAATTTTGGGAGACAAATATCGTCTGTCTGCGAGGTGTACGAAAGCCTCCACCACTGGCCATGTATCACATTTATATCAATTACGTCACATATGAGAGGAAACATAATTGATTACACACTTCTAAAGAAAGGGAAAATTTCAGTCATTACATTATGATAGTTGTAAGGTAGATATTTTTGTTAAAAAAAACACACTCACACTCTGTTTTGACGAAAATTACGGAAGTAGAAATTAATAAAACAAAGTACTTAAACTTACACTTCCTGTTATCCTTTAAGTGATTTAATTAAGCGTAAAGCAAGGTTTCATAGCCCAAGTATAAGATAAAATTCAAGTAATATTTTTTGCCATTACGTACAAATTAAAAAAAAACGCAACTAAAACTAAAGCTTTTAAAATTCGTATGAATTTCGGAAAATAAGTAATAACTTTACTTACTCATGGGAGGTGCAGCATACAATATGCTTATCTTATATTTCTCTAATGTGTTGAAATAATTATCGGGATTGAATTTGGTTAATGTCACAATCTTTGCGCCTATTGACATTTTGTGGAACATTATCACCGATGCTCCATAAATGTGGAAGAACGGTAAAACTCCTAATACTGCATCTTGGTGTGTCTCTGAAATAGCAAGAAATATAATTTACGCTAAATGAAATTTCATATAATAGGTATTATGTGACTGGTTCGATGCTTATGCTTACGAATAAAAGGCTGACTAAGCTTGAAAATTTTATTTGAGGCTAAAAAAAACTCGTTTCTCGGTTTTCCGTAATAGATAAAACTTACATTTTCTTTTTTTTATTTACATTTTCTTGTTTAAATTATAATAACTTTTATTATTATTATATTTAAATTTAGATGATTCAATAATCATGTTGATGAAAACTTAAATTTAAATCATATTAGATTACTCAAAATTTCAAATCACAAAAGGTGTATAATAAAAAGAAATGATGTTCAAAATCAAAGACAAAAAGTTTGTATGCGGATACCTAGGACGAAATTAACGGTCGGGGGTACGATGCCCCGTTACAAGTTTTAAGTTGACCCTACATAAGCAATGGACACAAGGTGATTGTACAGATTTATTTGCCGATATTATATCATGCTCGAGAAACTAAGAGAAGCTCGATTGGGTAGACTGTGGTAATTGTTAAACAACTTTCACAATGATCGGTGTAACCAGAAATTTACTGTCTTAAGCTACTGTATACTTTGGATTGCTTGTTAAGTCGTTGGTCCCGGCTGCATCTGCAGACGTTAACACCCACCAATCTGTATAGAGCCCTCGTGATTGGTCATTGTCCATTCTTCCTATTCAATTTGATTCTACATATAAATTCTGAGCCCCAGCAGTAGGGATATTAATAGTTTGTTGATGATAGCGTCTACTTCGTCCTGATTTTTATTAGAAGTACCATTTGACAGGTTTGATATAACATTACGAATTAATGGGAAGTAGCTTTATGAAAGTCATCCGTTTGTCGTTATTCGAAGTCCAATCATAATATTACCTGTCGTATCTTCGTGGTTCCTTATCTGCGATACATTCATTTGTTGCATGTTAGCAACTAAATTTCTATGCGACAGCTCCACGCCTTTAGGTAAACCAGTTGTTCCGCTGGAGTAAGGTAGGAAACATGTATCGGTAGGCGACCTTCTTACTTCCTTCAAACAGGATTTGTCTACGTGGACGTCTTCGCTTAATTCGTTGAAGCAGAATGTATTCTCAGGCGTTGCATCTCCGTTTGTCTTTACAATTATAATTGGTATATTAAGTTTTGCCAACTTCAAAGCTTCTTGTACGACCTTTAGTGATTCTGGCATTGTGACTATTGCCTTTGATTTTGACATTATGAGTTGACGTTGCACTTCATCTGAAACAAAAAAAAAACTCATATTAAATCAAGTAGCAAAATTCGAACCAGATAGTTTGTGAGGTAAGAGGAAAGTGTACTCTTTAATTTTTCTGACCAATTTCCTTTTTTTTCTCCACATAACCTAAAAATGATATTTGTTAAATATATGTGAATTGGTGTAGACGCGAGCTCTTTTCTCAACAACATATTTAGCAAAATTTTTAATCTATTATAGATTTAATGAATATAATTGTACCCTCGACTATACCTAATATCTCGCGTATCAACTTAGCAAATTTTAAAGGACACTATCTCATATTCTATCAGCTGATCCCAATGCTAAAGTATGGTAGCGAGATTTGGGTATGTCAGAAAAAGCATATAAGTAGAATACATGCAGTCGAACTGCATTAGTTACATAAAATTTGCGGAGTAACACTCGCAGACTTCGATTGCAATGAAGAGATAAGAAAGACAGTTGACCTCAAAGATAGCGTCGGTGTAAAAATAAACAGAAACATGCTCCGTTGGTTAGAACATGTAGAAATATTTCAGATGAAAGAATTACAAAACTAATATACAACGCGAAAGTGGGAGTATGTAGAAGCCGAGGGAAGTCGCGGCTACCTTTCATAATCAAATCAATCGTGTTCTTAGAAGTTGATATCAGAAGCTATAAATACTGGCGAGCATATTTGAAAGAGTTGTGAAAGTGGAGGAGGCGAAAGATGTAAGGATCTTGTGGTACTACGTCCTCTCTGCCTGTCCCTTGCCCCGCAAGGAATACGGTGTGAAGAGAAAGATATTGATAGAATCTCATGTTTCTTTAGGTTATCTAAAGTATACTTTAAAGATTAATTTTACGAATGATATGCGCTATCTTATTCAGTTTATCAGGCGAGTGGAATTTGTAACTATAAGTGAGTTGACGAAACAAACTTCTTGCAGTATTTATTTTCAAAATAAATTAAAAGTATTTTATTTACTGACAAAGTACCTGTTTATTGATAAAGTCATTTTAAAAATCGGTACAATAACTTTTAAGTTTATCCATTATCAAATATTTAATAAATAAAACGTAATATATACACTTTCCTCTTTATGATATTAATATACCTATATATAGATTAGATATGATTTTCGAATCACAATTTTTCCAGAGTTTATTGTTTAATTGTACCAAATTTTATTGAAATTAAAGTACAAGACAGACAGAATTGTAAAACGATTTGCAAAATTCTTTTTTTATTCAAAAGCTGAGACTCGTGGTGGTCACATTTGAATTGTGTCAAAATAGCGTTAGTGGTTTCGTTATATAACAAAAACAACTAGAGGTATTCTGCTTAAAAACGGTTAAACGTTTTAGGAATAATTTCAAGAATTTTATTTCGTTAATTTTTCGTCTTAGATTTTAAACAAACGTGGTCCGGTATCATACATAATTAAATCTTTTTCTTAAATAACTCTATATACTGATGGAAATTGCATTAAAATCTGTTTTGTAGTTTAAAAGATATTAGATAGATTAGTGTATAGACAGCGGGAAGATACCTACCTGTGTTTTCATAAATTGTTTACTTCTTTATATCTATATTTACGTCAGGTCATGTCTCGTTAATTCAGTATCTTTGATGATCAAGAACTGATTTTGATAAATGATATTTCTTTGTCATACCTATTAAATTTATAAAAGTTATGTAATCATACATAAGGAGTGATGGAAAATTTTCGTATTTTCTTTATTTTGTAATAACTCCAAAATGGCGCTGTAATTTATTTACGTATATATGTTACATATATACGTCTTTTTATCGCCGAATTTTAGACGTATATCAAATTAGAAAAGTGTAATTACATTGAGAATTCATTTTTGTTTTGTTAACTTTGCACTGCAATATACTTACGAGGAGTATAAATAGGGTTGATGGTGGAAATCTGTTACAAATACAAATTGTAAATAATATGATCTACGCAATGAATGTGTTGCTAGCACAAAACTCGAGGAAGACTGGATGTTTTTATTTATTTAGATTTAGGTAATAACAAAAAGAAAATGGAGAAATTGAGAAGAACGTTGTAGATATAATACCCTTACCCTATATAACCAGAGGGGCTGAGTTACCGGGTCAATTAGTAATAAAAAAAACAGTACTTCATATGTTTTAACTATCGTCAATATCCTCAAAGAATTTGATTGACGCTATGTGTATGGGGTAATTCTTTTTTGTTTCGGTAACTTTGCACTGCAATATACTTACGAGGTGTATAAATGGGGTTGATGGTAGAAATCACCCCACCAGCTCCTAATATACCAATGGCTATCAACGGGAAGTCTGGAATGTTCGGCAGCATCACCGACACAGTGTCTCCATCTCTGATCTTCAGTTTCAACCGAAGATTTGCAGCGAACGCGTTCGACAAATTGAAAGCTTGCTCGTAGGTGTAACCTCGACCAGTTGCTGAACATACCTGGAAAATAAAAAAGTAATAATTTAAAGAACTAACACGAACTTTGGCTTGACTATAAATTATTATTAATGACTAAATGCATTTTGTAACTTAGTTTTATTAAATAGCACTAAGTTAAAGACTAATTGCTTGTTAAAGAACTTTTATTTTTTTATATATACAAATTGTAAATAATATGATCTACGTAATAAATTTGTTGTTAGCACAAAGCTCGAGATAGTCTGGATTGATTTTATTTATTTAGATTTTAATAACAAAGAGAAACTGGAGAAATTGAGAAGAACGTTGTAGAAACAATACCTTTATTTTCCCTATATAAACCAGAGGGGCTGAGTTGCCGGGTCAATTAGTAAGAAAAAATAGAAGTCTTCATTTTTTTTTTTAACTATCTTCAATATCCTCAATGAATTTGATTGATGCTATTTGCATGCGGTAATACTATTTTAAATTTATTGAAAAGAGATAACACTACTACTATTTCTTTCATTTTACTACTACTATTTTCAACTATATGTAATACATGTAGTATACCATTATTATATTATTTATATGTTAATATAAATAATATCATACCCAACAACACAATGGACGTTTGCTTCAAAAGATTAGTTATATTCTCGCCTTGACAATTATAATCTGTCATCAACATAATGTCTCTAAGATATTGTTATCTGACAGGTTTTTAATTTTTCATGTATAATGTGTTTATTTTTATTTAGGCTCGGTGGCGTAGTGGATAAGCGCCACGGCTCGCGATCGTTGTTATTAGACAACCTTCGTAAGGGGCGGTTACGGGATGGGTGACCAAAAAATATTATCTCGAGATACTCCGTGCTTCGAAAGGCACGTTAAACCGTTGGTCCTGGCTGCGTTTGCAGTCGCTGATACCCTACAATACGCATTGGGCCAGCGTGGAGGCCCAATGCCCATCATGGCCCATCCTCCTTAACCATCCGTAAGGAAGGCCTGAGCTTCTGCAGTGGGGACATAAAAGGGCTGATGATGAATGTCTTTATTTGCTAATGTAGTTAATTACCTACGCTATAATGCCGTTTCTCGGTTAGAAGAAGGTTTAGGTGAATAAAATATTCTAGGATCATTCAAAAAGAAACTGCATATCTACTATATTAATATTTGAAAAACCGTTCATGTTAATGTAATATATATGCCTATGTCTTAGTTAGAACGGTTTGAAGTTTCAAATGGCCAAAAAGGAGGCAGAGGCCAAAATCAAGTCTTCTGCCATATACTAACTCTGTGTTTTGCAGTTGTTACCACGGTTTAGATGTAATTTCAATGGATTTCTGCAAGATAACGCCTGATTATAAGCTAAATAACTACATTTAGTCTTATCGATTTTTATAATAAGGTTTATTCATACTTTGTAAGGAACAAAGAACTCGTAAGTCGCTCACAGTCTGTCATTACCTGTGTCTAGTATATATTCTCTATTACAACTCCTCATATACTATAAATCGGATTTCCATGTAGTTTTTTGTTGTTCCCGCCGAAACGTAACTCCGATTTCTCAGATTTTAAGATAAATTACCAGCTGACCAATCAGGATTGGTCTAGAATTAGACAAATCTATCCTGATTAGTCAGATCAATGAGGCTTTAATGTAAAAGTTTAAAGTATGTAAATAACTCACCGATAACGTTTTCTCAGGCCATTTCTCCAAATTTTCCCAAACATAATCGTAAACAGTGCAATTTGGTATTTCAATTTTATCATATGGAGTTGTTAGGGTCCTTTCAGCTGTCCACACGCTATTCCTTCTCGCCATCAACTTGGAACTCTTGTTCACACAGTCCAAAATCCTCCGCATTTTTGAAGCACTTCTAGTGGTCATTTTGTGTTGTTACGCCAAATTATCTGTGAAAATATTTATAACTAAATTAAAAAAAAAACAGATAGCAGTATAATCAAAATTTAAGGTTTTATCAAAATTATCTGATTTTTTTATGTATACTTTTGATATGAAATTGGTGTTTAGAATGAATAAGTTACTAGTGCTGAATTAACATTTGTGGTTACTAAATCATAAATAGTAGCAATTATAATGAATAACATAAATAAAGAAAATTCACAACAAAAAGATAAAATGGTTTGTTAAATATATACACTATTTACTTTATCTACAAGACGAGACAGATTAAGAAGCAATATAAAAATTTAATAATTTAAGAACAGAATTCAAACGGAATTACCAATCCTAATCGTAACTCGATTGAATATAGTTGATTTTATATCGTTATCAAATACTATTACTTTTACATTCTTTGTCCGTCATAAATGTTGATCTGTAGTGCAAATTAAATATAATGCAACAGGCTTTATCTAAATATACATATTTACCCATCAGAGTCACAGCCAGTGAAATTAAACAATAGTGGCTTTATAAGTTTATAACACAAGATTATAACAAAATGAGAACCAACATATTGAAAAGATTTTGAACTTTAACTTCAAAGTTTGAAGGATTATAATCGATAGCAAAATATTTAACTGTTATGGACAACCTGGTGTATAGTCTGACAGTGTATCGAAACGTACTTATCTCTTGTATACTTATAATTACCGTATTTTTTTTAATAACTTTTTTATGGAAACGCTCTAAAACATATTTCAAAACTTTGAATTCTCCGGTTAAAACCTACACAATCAATCTTTAAAAAAGTTGTTAAGAGATTATCTCAGAATACGTTGAGTATTACAAATGAAGCTAAAATAAAACTCAATACCTCTTTTTTTCTAGGTGTACTAAGATAAAATCTGTAAACCAATGCAAGGAGTTTGGGCTCAAAACTTTTGTGGTTTCGATTGTTCTGTCAAAATGAATTGATCGACAGACACCCTGGTCATTGCACGTCCTCTACTGTCTGAGAGGAGGCTCCAATACATTCGAGCCTAAGCTTTTGCCTGTACGGGAGCCAAACTCAGCTGAGTGTGGAGTTTTCGGGCGGGTCCATGTGGATAAAAGTCAAGGTCCTATTCCAGTGAATAAAGCCCCTTACGGCCATAATAAGGGTTTCATTGTAATAAATCAATTAAGACTTTAATTGTTCGATAGTGACGACGAGTACTGAGATCCAAGTCACCTGTCATTGCATCACCAAGCAATGAAAATAAATACCTATATAGCATTTGACTAACGTAACATTATCATTATAAGCCGGAAACAAAAGAAACATAATTCATATCAAATTATGTTAAGTTTTTGTGTATACTAAGGTATTATTATATTGTTCTTGAATAATATGAGAATAAATATTCTGACCTTTTATATAGATAAACATCTTCATCTTCGTAATTATGTACAAATGCATTTCCGCTACATCTCCATACACACACATAAATGGTAAGTTCTTTAACCAGCCATTTGTATTAGGAAAAATGTCGAATTTGATACCCGTTTCTATATTAAAATCCACATTCTTCATAAATAAGGAATTAGTGAAGTGGATATGATGTTAGAATAGAATAATCGTTTATCGTTATTTACAAAAAAGTACACAGAATAAAAAACATGTTTTACAAAAACTAAGTTCCAATTGGGCCATCAACTTAGTACAATTTTAGGTACAAGAGTACCTAACGCTGGGTTAGCTGTAGCCCAAAGGTAACAGTGGTACGAACGAATATCAAAATAAAACATAATATATTAAAACGTGACCTTTTTGCTCGTTTCGTTACGGAATTATAAAAAAAAAAGTAAAGCCAAGTAGCTGGTGGCTGGTTTTTTTTATAATTAGATTGATTTAAACATTCAGGTTTACAATCTCTTGTATTGTCACCGTTACTTTTATTTTTTTTTTATTAAAAAATACCAAACGAACGACTACTCAAACCGGTGAAAAAGTACATTCAAACTCAACAAACAAATGTGAAAATTAAAAAAAAAAAAACTGCCTCGTTAGATTACAAACTATCGTATATTTAGATTAAGTTGATAGTAACTATTGAATTAACATTATTTATAACTGGAATACCTTTAATATCATTAAATTTTAAGGTAATGGTGTACAAAAAAACACAATATTATTATCAGTTAAAATAATATTTATATAAAATCCTTTTTTATAATTTACATTCAGCTCATGCGTAAATTGAGCACACTGGAGCTGTCGAAATGGCGGTTTCGAAATCAATGATACAATGAAAACGTAATTGTGGTCGTGTTAATTACAATTTTTAAATTGTTTACCAAGCATAGTAGCGGCCGGCCAACTCAAGGACAACTAGTCCCCAGCACCGCACATAAGTAAACACAAAAGCGAATGTGGTCACACTAGTCACAATTGATAGGGCTGGCATATTGTGTTGATATTAAAACTTTTTTAGGAAAAAGCAACAGAAGGAACTAGACAAATTGGGAGATTAAAAAGAGACCACACTAAAACACTATGTAAAATGATATTTAAACTCTTTGGAAAAGGAAAGAAGGTAGAGAAATTATTAGAATATCTCTATCTGTATCTATCTGGTCTTTACTTAGGTTGTGATACATATATTCTTAATAATTCCTTTTTATGATTATAATACAAGTATAAATGTACTTAAATAGAAATATTTATTGACCCGATTAATGTTTGATTAATTTTATTTTCTTCTGAGAATATCACAAAAAAAAATATTTTGACAGTTTTGATTAATCTCTATAAAATAATATGCTGTAGACAACCTTATAATGGATGCAAGGCTATCAAAGGTGACGTAATATTGTTGGTAAATAATAAGTTCATGCTAATATGTGAAGTAAGAAAGTTTATTTATAATATCAATGAACGTCTGTTACTGGACGCTTTATCAAAACTATTTCATATGTATATTGATTATAGTGTAAAGTATAAATAACGAAGATGTTTCAGTACTCACATGTATACTATTTATTTATTGGAAAACGTCACGACATCACAAAATACTGCGTCTGGTAAACCGAATCATCAATTTTTAGTAGATAATTTTTATACAACAGGAGTAGTTTATGTTCGGAAAGTAAATAATAATAAAGATATCAAAACTTCTTGCGCACGCGCTGGCTACGCCGACCGACTTTATACTAAACGATGATATGAAATGGAACCGGCGAGTGGCCGATTTGGATTGAACTCACTCGTGTAGGTGGGGTCGCATGTTATATCGAGTGAAACTTGTTTCATTCAACATCACCGGCTTGTATTTAAAGTCATATAGCATTCTAGAATAAAATTTTAAACAAACGATAAGTTTTGTATTAAAAAAATATCATAATTTATTTATATTTGATCAATCGGAATGATTCAGCATTTAAAAAAACACCGGACCAAAGATCATACCAGCCTAATGGCTGGTATGATGACACAGCGTCTTTACTTAGTAATACAAATTATTCTATTTTTTCAGCCTTTACATAAGAGGATGTTAATACCTAACTAAGATTATTTGTATTTCATATTCAAGGAACTTCAATTTAATTTACAAAATACCCAAGCTTCATTAGAAGATTCTTGAACATATCCACATTCCCTATTAAGATTTCACAGAGAAACTAATCAATATTCATTACATTTTGAAGCTTATGGGATATTACATTGATGTTTCAGTAGACAGACATCCAAACGTCCTATTTCTATACGAAATCACGCTGAAACCATAACAAAACTACTTTATTGGACCGCTCAAAGTCCAACGTTCAAGCAGTTCAACTTATCAATAATTTTGGTTATCAATTGATCAAATTCATTTTATTGTTGCTATTTATAAGTAGTATGACATTCATTACGACAGGCCACGAGTTTTGACACTAATTATTTATTAAATTTGAAACCTTTTATTTATATTTATGTCAGATTTTGTTCAATAAAGGACCTGTCGATGCGGAATAATTTTATTTTGTTTTTAGCGGTGTATTTTGGACTTATTTAATTATTACTTGGAAAAGCTTAAGAGAAAAGAAATGGTAAACCATCTAACACCAGCTAGTACTTATCCATGTTAGCATGAACCCTATTGAATATTTAAATAACGGAAGGTATAAATGTCAGGTGATTCAGTTTTCATTTCTATTGCAACAAATTTCACCTATCAGTAGAATTGATGAGTTCAAAGGTTTATCAGAACATGGACACAAGCTCCAAACAGTAGACGATATTAATTTACGTTAATGTTTGATTTGAAGTGAAGTGAATTATTACGATGCGATGTCTAATTTGCTGTAAAGACGAGGACAAATATGCATGCACTCAATACACTACACTCAAATAATTTAGCACATGAGGTAAGAGTCCTATGTAAATTAACATAAAATGTGTAACAGCTCATTTTCTCTGAAACTACTCGACTGATTGAATTGAAATGTGTTACAAATATTGTGGCCGCTTTTTGACGGCTAATTTAAAAACGCAAACTCTTTAAAAATTAATTTAGGACAATATTTTTTAGGAGTTATGAAATTTTTTTGACCATTACATATATAAAATATTACTATTAGATGAAATCTTTTAGAAATCCATATTCATAACGAATTGAGTCGACTCAGTCTTCATTGTTTTTTTTTTTTTATTATTTCGAAACACCTATTATTGTTCTCGATAGGTTGCATACATTCTATTATGAGATTTTACATTCTCGCAAGTTACTGCTTTACCAGTAGTTTTTAATGACATTCCAAATGTATCTAGGTCTAACTAAATGTATTGCTATCAATACAAGAACCAACTTTGTTGTCTTTCACTTCTTATAAACAACAAAATTAAAAACCCTAATTTTAATTTAGCATTATTATTACAACATTCATAAGTCACATATATAGTATAAAATAAATATAATTGTTAATCTATACAAGAGAAAATACTTGATTTTTGGCATTAAAAAGGATCCGAAAGTTTTAGGAACAATTTAAAAATTATTCCACCTACGAGAAGTACCCAATACCCTTTAACCGGAATCGATCAATTGTTGTACATAATTGGAATCGTCCATTTTTTTTTTGTACTGGAAAAATGGACCCTTTTATAAAAATCCAAGTTATTTTCCAATATATACACCATACTAAAATAAGCATAAAAATGTTAACAGCACTCTCCGTATCGACTACTGATTCGATATATCTAAGTTGTACCGAATCAGTAAAAAAAAAACAAAACATGAAGAAAATATGTCACAAAAACTTAAAAATTGGTCCATTCTGACATTTAATATCATTCTTCGCACGCCAGTACTCAACGTAATTCAATGTCATTGAAAAAGTCCCTAACGCCGAATGAAACGAGTCCCATCTCAGAGCGCCAGAGACAAAGTGTATTTTTAAATTATTTTCTCATTAAATAAAAAAAAAATCTCAAAATGCGACTCATTTGGTTGAAATTATATTTTGCAATAAAAATTTAATTATTTGTATACATACATTAACAAATATTACAATAATCTTAAATTAGATAATTTATTGAATGATACTTAAAATGTAACTTTAATTTTTTATACAAATTTTCCTTCAGCGATGTATATGAAGATTGAATAAAAAAAAATTGTTTTAAAGAAACATAATTATAATTTATAAAATCATATTTATAATTTTTCTTAGATATAAAAATAAAGCTGATATAATGCTGAGCACAATCAGAGATCAACATAAAGTGTCTCATATTACATAGGTAGATATTGAGTTGAAATAAAAACAATGAAATTGCTAAAAGTTATAGGTATAAAACTACTTTTTATTATAATACCAAATTATTGTGTACTAAAAATGATAAGAAACTATAACAAAAACAAAATATTTATAATTGTGTTAGCCTGGATGTTTGACTAGCTTACATTATTAGGATATTGATTTCGCTATTAGACCTTCTTTTTGATTATAACATGATAATTATAGAGATAGATAATTATGCAACTGTCACTTGCTTAGCTCCTTAATTGGCTAGAAGAGATCTCATAAAAGAAGAACATACCTACTTAATAGTATTCAGATAAATGATTATCTGAGTACTATTAAGTAAGCTTCTTCTAAGTCTTTACACTCCTGATGGAGTGGTCGTGATCGGAAATCAGGTACAGTTTGAGAGGTAAGCAAGCAATACGCCGCTAAATGTCAGACCGCAGTCTTTCTGGTACACTCATGGATAGGGCAGTTTGTTGCCGCCTTTATTTGTGGTGGTATACGAATAGTGTCAGAGGTCGTGACAAAATGTGCAAGAGCTTTCTAAATCTTGATTTTTCACGATATTATTAGTTAGTCCATAAAATAATACTCAGACTTTCATTTAATGGAACGAACATATTCAGCAATAAGCAGAAGATTGTTCCAGTGTCGGACCTCCACTCTGGGTACTGAGTGATGTATACCCTTAGTAATTCACCATAAGTTTTACAACGCTCTTGCATATTCTTATGACGGGTTCTCCGTCTATAACTCATAATATCTGGCGCAATGAATCATTCGTGTTATAACAATACATAGTAAATATTTTTTTTCCCCACAAATTAAAATATTATAAACCACAAATATAAATAAACAAATATAAATGTATATGGATAATACGCTTTTATTTGACATGACTGTTCTGTAGTGACGTCACGCAACCGATATTTTTTTTTATTTACCCTTAGTAGATATGTATTAACCCTTTCATAATACCTATTTATTTTTAAATATAGTTAAGTAAAGCGTTACCATAGTAACCATTGTTTACTAATCAATTTGTCTTTGTAATTATATCCGTGTCATGATATGAAACCTTATTCAAATGAATTATTAAACGAATGAACCAGGTGAATTCTAAACCTGGATTAATATATGGGTTACTTTTTATCCCACCAAACAGTTCTCTACGGACGAAGACGCTGGCGGAAAGCTTGTTCTTTAATATTTCTATTAAACATCTTCACAGTGTGGTAACTCAATATTTATTTAAACTTCATTAATATTCAACAATTTACCCTTACAATATCACGCATACATCTTTTTCAGTTCTCTTCTTAATATCTTACCAGTTAAATTCTTAGGAATATTATCAACTAACACTACTTCTTCTATCTTTTTGTAAGAGGCAACTTTGTTAGCTACATACTCTTGAAGCTCATCGGGGGTTACTTTGAACTCTTTCTTTATAATAACGAAAGCTTTAGGCACTTCTCCGAAGAATTCATGAGGTACACCTATAACGCCAGCTTCTTGTACTGCCGGATGAGATCGAAGTACGCTTTCTAGTTCAGCTGGTGCTACTTGAAGGCCTTTCACCTGTGATGATAATAATTATGTTGAAAATTAATCCAAAATTAACTTTTATAACAAACACTCCCGTATGTACCACTAATATCATGTATTAGATTCTTATATTACTATTTATGTCATTATATTATCATGCAGAACAGCGAATGGCATAAATTTCATTTCACTAATCTGTTTGGCATATAATACCTACATACAAAGCATTTATTCACTGCAAAACTTTGAAAGTCAGAGAGTATAAATTTATGTGTCAATAATAATAATTAAATAGTAGAACCAATAATTTCTTAGAAAATTCACAGTCAGAATTGTCTTTAGGTATACATTTCATATCTATGTTAAGTTGTATATGGCACACATCGGATCGCTTTTTGTTTTGGTTACAGTTATAACGTTATCTAACCAAACCAATTGATTGGGTTTTTATTACGAAATAATGCGACTTTAAATTATGCCAAATGTATTTATATCAAATCTACTATCTTAAATTTCCGGGTAATCAATAATTTTATGCTTCATGAATTTTTGCCTTATGATATTTCGTTTTTAAAGTATGTTATATCAAATGATGTTCACGATTTTTGGAGATAGAAGAAACCGGTAATAATGTTTTCTGAGATTTTTTATTCAAAGTCCATTAAATATCTTTACAAATCAATGTGCAAATATTAATACCACAGATTATAATACTATTAAAGATGCAAACATTAAAAACATTAAATCAAAAACTCTCAAAATATGACTGATTATCAGTCATTATGATATTTTGAGGGACGAGTAAAGCGATTAACGCTTACGATCAATGCCAAACAAATCAAACTAATACTAAAGAAGAGTAAAGTTCGTTGACTGTTGATCTACTCTATATCATTAGTGACTAAAATGATATACCTTTATGAGTTCTTTTATTCTATCAGTGATGTAAGCACCGACACCGGGCTTGTAGTAACCCAAGTCGCCAGTCTTGAAGAATCCATCCTCTGTTAAGCTCTCCTTTGTAGCTTTTTCATTTTTGTGGTATCCTTTCATTACTATGGGGCCTTTGACATACATTTCTCCTTTCTGAAATACATAAATATTTTTTATGCAACATTAAGTGCAACATTTCTACTTCTAAAATTATCTTTGTTGATATAGATATTTTGTTTTGATACGACGCTGGAAAGCAAACACGTAGTAACCCGCAAATCCAAAATTGATCTTCAAAGCAGAAAAACTTTGATTTTTTTCGATAAATAATTCCTATAAACGTTCATGGTAACAAATAAGATGTTCCTTAGTCAATTTATACAGAAATAAGACATATTTATTTGGAAAAATCTAAAGATTTTCCATTATAAATATCAATTTATAATGCTAGGGGCGCTTTGCCGGTTTTTATATGCTAAAACGAACGCATTCAGCAAGAAGTTCAAACCAAGCCTTCTAGTCTTGAGTAATTCATTCGATCGCTGACCAAGATAAAGTTATCAAAATTATGATATTTGACAAAATCAAGTTCTTTATTCAAATAAACTTATTAAGTACTTTGAATCGTTAATTTTTAACATTTTTATTTGAATAATTAGAAAAACGGACGCAAGAAAGTCGACATCTCCAATAAAAAGCACGAAATTTAGAAAAAAAAAACATTGTTGTAAAATTAAAATCATATTTATGTACCAAAAAAAAAATTAAAGTTAAACCGTTTTATTATAAACAGAAAAATGTTGCAAATAAATGTACTAAAAGCTAAAAAAATAAATGAATGGATACAGTCATGGGTGCCAATATGTATACATTGTTACATTTTCAAAATAAAGTAACCCATAAACTACTCATTTTGTGGAGATATCTATGTTCACATAAAATCCTGACAATGCAATGTATTTATAGATTAATGTAAATATCTATAATTATTATTATTATATAGTTTTTGAAATATACAAATTTTAAACATATTATGCATTGATAAGAGTAAAATAAAATCGTGGGACACGTCCAATATCTATAATCGTCGATTCAGATGTTCGTTGTAAAGTATCGCACCACAAGATTCACCTTTGCACACATTTTAATAGACTATTATTATTACTATTAGAAAGGTACGAATACCTATAGGTATATAGGTATTCGTACCTTTCTAATAGTAATAATAATCTTCGCGTTTTTATCAATCCAAGTATTTGAAAAGCCTTTTTATTCTATCAAAGGATACGTCATCATCAGCTCTTTGACGTCCCTACTGCTGGGGCACGTGCCTCCCTTATAGATAGAATCGAATCAAATCAAATAGAAAGAATGGGCCATGATCCACCACGTGCTCCCGATGTGAATTCGTGCTGTAGGCAGATGCAGTCAGCAGCACGGCTTAGCGTGCCTTCCAAAGGAGCTCGAGGTAATATATTCTTGGGCACCGATCCTATGACCGTCCCTTACGAAAGTTGCTTAACTTCCGCATTACAGACCGAACGCGCTAAGCGTACCAACCACCTCCTCTTTAGACGTATATATTTTTGTAACTTTAAAATGTACACATACTTGCCCAACAGGAACAGGTTCGCCGGTTATCGGGTCCACGTATTTCACCGTGATACCTGCCAAGACCTCACCGCAGGAATCATAGTCATAAGACTCTTGACCTATCAACGTTGCGGTTGTCAACGAAGAGGTTTCCGTTGCTCCGAATCCTTGGTTAATCTCAATTTTTGTCTGGAAGCGTGTTATTTTCAGATAAATTGTACTTGTCATATCATTTTGGTGTTCCGGGTTGACACATTAGTTTAAAAGTAATGAATTGGATATTAGTATGCTTCTTTTTTATGCGTTGGGGAAATTCTAAAAGCACAGTCCCTGTAGTCTGGCGAACAACAAGGGACGTGTACCGTTCGTGTGTTCTGTAATTTATCTATCTCTTAGCGATAACTTTTAAATCGTAATCATTTCGATTACGATTTAAAAGTTATTTTTGATTTTGATTTTAATATAAGTAGAATGAGTTTAATTATAAACGCTATTAAAATAATAAAAAAATATTAAGTTTGCCAATCTGTCAGTCTCACAATCTCAGAACACAGACATCGACTTAGTCTCGACATCGATTCAATTACCTACACAAAGTACGCGTGACTGACGATTCGTACGTTAATCCGTTTTACACTTGTTGATTGTTTGTAAATCTTTGAAACGGTTTAAATCTGTCAACTAAAGGTTATATGTCATATAAATATCAACATTATATCGGTTGTCATATAATATATTTAATCTAAAAATATACCAAAATATTTAACCTAAAAAAATTTAAATGACGACTTAAATGCTGGGCTTGCACCATACTATTTAAGTGCACTATGACCCTAATGGTCTATTATATCTTCACGTCTCGGATCACTCGCAAAGTAGCAGAGAGATACTAACATACACCTTTCGCGTCCTCAACCTTCGTTAGATACTTCTTTCATACGTGCTTGTCTGTTTTATGGCTTCTAACGCCACGTTCGAATACACGTGTCTTTATTATCTATATATAGTCAATACTATAGTAATATTACCTTAGCTTTTTCCAATATATTTTCTACATCAGACGCGGCTAATGGCGCAGCACCACATACTATGTGTCTAACATTTCTGAAATGCTTTCGGTTTACATCAGGATGTTTTCCCAGAAGAATAGCTAGAAAAACATAGTATTAAATTATAAACAACTAATCGGATTTAATTAATTTACCTATCTTGGTAATTTTATATAGACTTACCTATCGGTGGTACAACGTACAGCAGACTTGCCTTTTCCGTTTGCAATAGATTAAGATAAAGGGTAGCTGAGAAAGAGGACATCGTGATCATCTTACATCCTTTGGTCAAATGGCCAATCAAGGTGATCACTAAGCCGTAGATATGGAAAAACGGCAAAATGCAGGGCACAATATCCTGGACGTTTCCTGAGATTGTGTGAAATAACAAAACAATTTAAAATATAAGATCAGGAAAATAATATATAATTACTTATTGTACAAATTAATATTATCGTACTGAATAAAAGTGTCTCTTTAATGTAATATACATTTAAAGTCAACACATTTAGACTAATTGTATTTCTAATATAGTGGTATTTCTAAAATAATTACAAATAAAACTCGTCTTGCCTTTTCCAAGAAAAAGTAGTAACAGTTGAACATAAGAATATATTGTTAATTGTTTCATTAATACTATGCCCATTTTCTTCCCTCTAGGTTTTTAAGTTTAGTTACAGTATTTGCACGACCTTAATACAGGCAAGTAATTCTGTTAGGCAGGTTCACATAGCTATTATAATGTCCAAGTAAAATACGTCATCATTTAAATGTAATAAATATTTACCTTCGACCATTTTCGCATAGCAATTATCCTTATTACCCATTATTTCGATACTAGCTTTAAGGTTCTTGTAAGTTATTTCCACTCCCTTGGGTAAGCCTGTCGTACCACTGGAGAATGGTATAAATGCTATATCATCATCTTTTCTATCAATTTTATCTAACAGCGAATAATCAGCTTCACCTTTTTCTGCAATTTCACTATATCTAATCGTCCCATTTGGTATTTGTTCATTTGCATTATCTAAAAGTACTATTTTAGCTTCGATTTGTGCATTTTTTAGGCCTTTTACAACGGTGTCGTAGTGTGAAGGTGTGGTCACGAAGACCTTGGGTTGAGTAATATTTGACTGATGCTCTACCTCATCTGAAATTTTAAAAAAACCTAGATTATTCCTTAGATAATTAAAACGTATACGTTACTTTTACTTACAGTTGCTCTTTTGCCCATTTAAGTACGCATATTATTTATAGTTTTCTATATGGATTCAACAATCAATAAAAAATACTTATCGTAATTTATACAAATAAATCAATATATTATACAATACTACAGAGTATTATCTATTATATTCAAGATTTTATCTATAATATAAATGAAAAACGATAGCTTAATTAGTTCATCAACAATGGCTTAAAGATCAACGGCAGTACCATAGAGCAGTCGGTACACAGTCGGTACACTACATATATCTTGGTATTTATACTTGCGTTCATAAGTTATTGATATAAACGTTATTGTTTGTAGCGTCTCCGAGTTGATAAAACATATTTATCATTTTGGCTTTACTATTGCTGAATATTCATTATCAGTTATTTACAGAGATGATTACCCTCCTGTCAAGGCATTGAACTTATCAATGTTTATCTCTTTATCAAAACTTGTTATTACAATGACTTGGGCTTATTTTGAGTTACCTATTATCTCGCCTCCCATAAACCTTCGATGTACACTTATCTTTATATTACCCCATTTTATGGTAGCGACACGTTTTGTTTCGCATGATGAGTAGTGTAAAAGTAGCCTCTAAAGTGTGAGTTGAAATGAGATATTGTTGTGTAGCTCGGTGGCGTATTGGATAAGCGCCTCGGCCCGCGATCGTTGTCGTTAAGCAACTTTCGCAAGGGTCGGTCACGGGATGGGTGACCAAAAAAATATCATCTCGAGCTACTCCGTGCTTCGGAAGGCACGTTAAGCCGTTGGTCCCGGCTGCATTTGCGGTCGTTAATACCCTCCAATCCGCATTAGGCCAGCGTGGAGGGTCATGGCCCATCCTCCTTAACCATCCATAAGGAAGGCCTGAGTCCCTGTAGTGGGGACGTAAAAGGGCTGATGATGATGATGATGATTGTTGCCTAAAATGTATTAATTTGTAATCATCAATAACAAACGCTGAAATTAAGTTTAAAAATTCAAATCAATAAAAAAAAACAGCCAGATGCGTGTAACGTTATTTGCCCGTTATTTACTATAAATAACAATATCATCTAAATCATTTCCTATGGAATTCGTAAAAAATCCTTTTATAACTACTTGTCAAGTGAATTTTATACATAGTAAAACTCTTGAAATTGTAAGGCCTCTGCATTAAACTGAGATGAACTAGTATTCGAATCTCCGAAACTTATTTGAAGCAACAAACTTAGCATAAGCTTCTTTTCACGTATACTTTGATATAAGACATAAAAATTAAGAATAATTGTCGATTGGCTAAACTGTTGTAAATATATCCGAATTTACGGTAGCTAAATATTAAGATGGTAGAATTTCATTTAACATAGTATATAACAAAGGAACAAAAAACATTGGTTAGGTTGGAAATGTGAGCAGAACAAAACAGAACATCAGCTACCTACCTTTATATCTATAATAATATCAGTCGGAGATTTTCTGTAAATTATTACTTAAATGATAAAATCAATAGATATGAAATTATTGCCAAAAGACGACTCTGACAATGAATTTTTTGTAAAGTGAGGATTCTACTTTTCTATTTGTTACGCACAATTATGCCTAAAGATTGTTTTGAATTTCAAAATTATTAATTTTGAATGTATACTATATGAGTGTGATTATGTTAAAAATATCTGCGAAATGAGGTTTGTCACTATTTGTTCTGCATAGTAACATTATGATATAAAAGATCTGCATAAAGGGTAGACCGAACCGAGAGACTGCTTGACAAAATGAGCTCAAAGAGTTCGTATCGGTTTTCTCAAGTAGCACTACAAACGAAATAGCTCTAATCTATCACTAAAATCTATCAAATATAATGGCAAAATTGTTAAAATAATTCGTTAAAATATTTCACAAAGAGATTCCACTTGAAGTGAAAACTTATCCCTGCCTTACTTACACATGGGTGTATATATAAGTACTATATAAAGATCCACCCTATATAAAGATTAACCCTATTTTAAAGCAGGATGATATCACGCAAACACAAAGATCGTCTATAGAGAAGTGGAGTTGAAAGCTGGACACTCCAGTTGAGTCTCACGGACAAGTCTTTAAGGACTGGATGCACCGGATAAATAGTTCGACGACCTTTTATTTAGCCATAGATTAAGCGCAAGTGCGATTTCATGCTATTTAACTTAGTAGAATTACTTTCACCTACTCAAAAAGATGTCTTGAGAAATAAACTCACGTTCTTTATAGATAGGGTTCAGAGTTGTGACAACACAGCCAGCTTGTAAACTCCCAAAAGCCACAACGACGAACTCGGGAGAATTCGGAAGCATAATTGCCACTACATCACCGAACTTCAAACCAAGTTTCTTGTGAAGTGAAGTGGCGAAGACCGCCATGTTTTTCATAAGCTGATCATATGTGTAGGCTTTCTTAGTCTCTGCGCTTTCCTGAAAAATATAAATTTGGCATTTAACGATACATAGGTACATTTATATATATTTTTGTTTATATATATTTTTATTTCGGAACTGTTTCGTGTTATTGTTGATATCGGGTTCATTATCAAGATACTAAGTATTCCGTAATCCACATTATAAAACTAATAGAATAAAAATACCTCGTATTAGCAACTTTAAAAATTATCTGACATAATAAGACACTAATACTCAAGACCGAAGTCTAAATATTTATCTAAATACCTACAAAATTAATGCAATGTAATCCTTTAGAGATAATACGGGACCAACACCGAACTATGAGGTGATTCACCTTTTCTTTTACAAATATCAACTATAGCTCACATTTAGATTTAATACTAAAGTCACATCCTCCAATTTGGGCTCACATCCGATGGAAGTACACGTACAAATGATTTCATATGAAATCCCTCTTTAGTATGACACATGGTTGACGCGACACAAACAATCACCTATGTTCCTCTTTAGTTTCTAAAACCAGTTTTAGATATAGAAGAAGATATAAATTGTTGCTTGTTTAATAAAGAAAAAGGAAAACCGAATGATTGACACATGCTGCATGATCTACTAGAATTATAAACTTGAAACTGCACCATGCTTCCTTTTAAGATAATTTTGGTTAATCAACGCATTTATTATACGTTGTTTTTGGACGTAAAAATGGTGCAAGGAGAGTTATTTTGAATGAAAGTATGTCAGGTTTTATAAGCTAAATTGATAATAATATAGCGACTTACAATTTTTAAATGAAATGCTTCGTGCTTTTATTTGAATTCAGCCTTTAAAGGTTTGAAAAATTGCAATGAAATGTGTATGATGCAGTGTAATTCACACGAATAAAGTTGCGACCAGAAGGCTAGTAATGCAAAATTAACCTAAAATTGATTATTTAATCCAGTTCCTCAAATTAACTACGCTTAATTCCAAAACCACACTCTGCATTGAGCCAGCTTACCTATAGTAATGTTATAAAGAGGTAAAGTGTATAACTATTAGTTTGTAGGAGGTAATCATCAGAAATACTGGTCTAATCTTGAAAATTCTTTCACCTAAAGTAAGTTATATCATACGCGGACAAGGTTGCGGGAAAACAGCTAGTTCTAAATATCCTTCATTTCTTTCCATAGATTATAATGATGAATTTTAAATGCAAAATAACGGAAGATAATCGTATAGGTATATAATTTTGTTGAATATGCTTGTGTTTTTGTTTTTATGATTCGACGACAAACCTGGTAGTAGAGACCGTTGGAAGGTCGACTAGTTATTTTTAATATCTACGTCAATGATCAAGGATTCAATGACATGGTAGAATACCAAAAATTTTGAATTCACGGTCAATTTAAACGAATATTTAAAAATATTTAATAAAAGCGATCAAATCTTATATATATAAGGTTAAAACCTTATATAAGATTTGATCGCTTGTTTACATAAATGTGGCCCAAAGTTCAAATACCTACACTAGTAACAAAATAGTGTAGTTATTTGGATTTTGGGCCACATTTGTGTATGGTATAATATGCTTTGAACTTTGAAATATGTAAGATAATAATAAGAAATGATAAGTATAGATACGTAAATTATAAATGTGAGATGATAATCAAAGATTTAAGATATCTTAATTGATTTGTATTTGAAGATAGTTAAATGAACTTGAATCCTTTACGTCATAAGGTACTATAAATCATAATTATATTTTATTTTATAAAATTACGGTTTGCTATGTGTCTGCTTTAACGATTTACAAGCGTTCATTTGAAGTCTTCGCCAACTTCGTTGATTTAACTGAACACATATATATACCCAGTATGCTATTCTGTGTAAAAACACAAAAACTACGTGACGTCATAGAACTTCAGTTTACTACCAACAAACAGGGCCGGCCCATCCTTCTAGGCAAACTTGGCAACCGCCTACGACGCTCGTATTTGGTAGGCGGCATGTCATGGCAGACAGATTATGCTTGCTATAAGTATTCAAACCTTTAAAATGCAGTACCTTACACATTGACTTTTGTTCTTTGAACATGAAACCATGTCCGCGGTATTCAAAAGTACAAAATTTTCAGGCACCAGGACCGGGTACCTGAGGAGTTTATTTTGTCTGTTTCTTTAGGTGTACCTTGTGCATTAGTCTTTTGATTTGTTGTGATTTTTTTATAGGAATTGCTCCAGTGTTTTGCCTAGGGCGCCAATTTTTATTGATTAGGCCCTGCTAATAAACTATTTATTACCTTTTTAAGTAGGTTTTTTTTATTGCATTCCTTTTTTTAACAGAAAAGTGCTGTAGTTTTAACCAACTTATATCGCTTTTAACTATTTTAATGGACGATGGGCAACTGGGTGATGGTGAGCAGAGTTTTCATTTTATCTACATACAAGTAAAAAAAGTTTTAGGTCACTTTCCACCTGATATCTTTGCTTTTTGTAGATACTCGCTTTAGCTTGTATAAATCCATTCAATTAAATGTCGGAATAACAAATAAATTACTAATTAATCTAAACGTAGATGTAAACTAATATAACCTTGTATTTTACATAACCTGTGTAAATCAAAACATGATACACGTCAACATACCATTTAGTAGTATTTAAAAAGAGTTAATGATTTAATTAATTTCGAAGGTTCAATTCGTTTGTGTCATGGACTCAAGAATTGCAAGCCAAAGGTCTTGTGATTGTAAATAAGTTCATATACTTGTTTATATTAGATAATTTTATATGCAACCAATTTTATTTCGAACCAGAAAATATTATCAACACAATTAAGAACACAACCAATAAGGAATAATACCTATATAAATATAATTTAAGGTGAATATGGGGTCATAGAAAATACACGTCTGATGTAAAAAAAATATCACCCCAGTGGATCTGGGCATCCTAGGCAAAACACTAGAACTAGAACTCAAAACACTGTAATTAAAAATCATACCTAACATAAAAATAAACAAAAGACAGTACACTAATTCAAAAGTGTCAAAACATTTTTCATTACAAAAGAAACTCCTTGGGTAGGTACTGCTGGTCCGAAAATTTTGTAATTTTGAATACCGCAGACATGGACTCATGTTCGAAAGTATTTTTAAGATTCTATTTGCCATGCCATGCCGCCCCTAAATACGATCGCCCTAGGCAACTGCCTAATTTAACTATATGGATGGGCTGGCCTTGGGAATCCACACTAATATAATAATGCGAAAAAACTTTCTCTGGGTGTGTTACGTTTTCACGCCTAAATACTTGTAATGAAACTAAGTTTAATGATATTTTATAGGTACATATAGAGTTTAGACGTTGATAAACGACATCGGATAGTTTTTATCGCGAAAAATATATTTAAAGGGGTTGAAGTAAGGGATGAAATCGTCTATGTCGAGCATCGTTGAAGATCGAAGACAATAGACAGGAATTAAATATAACATGACGAAGAAATATGAGATAAAAGGGCGATTAATACCGAATTCTGCACGAACGAAGCAGCGGACAGAATTAGTTTAAATTACTAGGAATTTTAGCACTCCAGAGATCACAAATTGTGGGCCTTGCGTCAGTACCTACCTTAAGACTAAAGTGGCCTTGTACTTTATATTCTCCAGTTTAACCAAAATAAATAGCTTAAAGCCTACACGAGCCATAGATTGATGAGCAAAAATAGTTGATTTGATTAACTAATTTGAAAGCTCCATTCCGAGATCAAGTGTCAATTGGTGTTTGTGACGTGGTGTTGACGCATGTTTACAGAATTCTTGAAGTAAATAAATAATATAGTCTATTTAGGACAGATTGCTTCTTTTCCCCCAGAAACAGAATAGATAATGTACCCCATAGGTCAGAATTCATCACTGGCCTGTTAATTGCTGTGGCTGAGGTCTCCCATAGGGAAGATCTGAGCCACAGCAATTAACAGAGTAATGGGGCCACCACGCGGGCCAATGTGGATTGGTAGATGTTAACGACTTCAGATGCAGTCAGACCACCGGCTAATGTGCCTTCCAAAGCACAGAGATCGAGATAATACACTTTTGGTCAACCATCCTACGCGCGGCCTCTGCGAAAATTACTTAACAACCGTGTCGCAGACCGAGTGCGCTAACCTCTGCACCGTCGAGCTATAAGCCAGCTTATAAAAGAATTACCTAATAATTATACAGCAATCCTACGTGCCCAGATGGAATTCGAACCCAAACTTTCCCAATTCGGACAACTGCAGTGGGATCCCTTGGGCACGTCAGATTTGTGAATTTGTTGAGTATTTTTCTAAAATATATCATTGTGAATGCAAAATTCATCAAATATACCTATAAATAATAAAGGAAAATGAAGGTAATTATAAACTTAAATCCGTAATTGTAAGATAGGTTTTTAGTGAGATGGAATATTAATGTATTTTTTATTTTTATAAAAGATATATATAGGTACTATTATTGTTTTTTGACTATAATATAGATATATCTATTTATTGTATCTCCGTGTGTGTGTGGTCAATAAATGTATTTTCTTTCTATAATATTTATTTGAAAGTATGTACCTATGTATCATATGAAAATATTTAATACATATGTATTAAATATTTTAAGGACAAATCTACTACGCTAAACTACTTGACATTCACAGTAGGAATATATTAGAAAAATAAACAATTTAATAAACTAACAGGGCAGTAACCGCTACAATCAGTGTCACCAAGCAGTCAAGCGTAAAAAACAAACTACTACATACCAGAGCCACAAGATTTTTAAATTTCGAAGAGTCCCGCCACAGTTGTTCCAGGAAACTAGTGTTAGGTATACTTATATCACCTAAACGCGATTTTATTTCATAATCATTATTTAATACGGCACTGTGTGACAGATGCCTTTGCCATTTAATATTTTTTATTTGCGCGAATAATAATCTGCGGCTGGACTGCATGGTGGCGCGCGCTTTACGCGATCCTACAATCGAAACTGCCTGCTACTACTAGAACAGTCAACTACCGGCTATCGTCATGATAATGATGTTTTAGTAAAACAATCTGTTGTAAAGGTTAATAGATGACTTCGAGAACTAGCATTCGTTTAAGTTTACCATTTATTAATTTTTCACGTATAGTTAATAGGTAAAAACACTTATTGAGTTTAAGGAAATAAGTGTCTAAATATGTAAAAAACTAGATATATGTTGTTTTTTGTGGAGACAAAAAGTAATGCCATTTTCTCATAGGTTTACATTTAAATTATTGCTGATATTATTCCATTTAAAAATAAATATCTAATATATTCAAACTAGCTTGAAAGGGCAGCTTGAAAATATTGTTAAAATTCGCTTAAAAATACGTATCAAAGCGTGACTTAAATAACATTTTCTGTTCTAGGGAAAAATATATATATTTTTAATTTTGTATAATCCCTGCAAATTGCTAATGCCTGGCCGCCATTTTAATCTCATGGTTGCGTTCAAAAATCAGTAACGTTAACAAATAAACTGGTTGACGAGTAGGTACATTTATTAACTTGGATTGTGTTGAAATCACAAATCATTTTTGTTGTTACTGTTGTTTACAATTTTTATTATTAAGTTTTGTTGTTACTTGCTATGTTTGACTAAAATAGCAACTGCAATTATGATTTTCACAATAAATATATCAAATGTTTTTCATTTGATTATTACTTTTGGTTATGTTTTAAAAAATGTTCTTTCCGTAATAACAAAGTATTTTTTATTCATTTATTTACACATACCGTAATATTTACATATAAATTGATTATTTTCCAAAAACTTCTGTAATAAATTACAAATTAATAGTAATTAAATTATTATAACAATATTTTGGAGATTATTCATAAATATTTCAATAATTAATTTATCTCTTGGTTTTTGTGCTATCTATACATTCTATTTTCATATGTCGTCACGCGGGTGTTAATAGACAAGATTTTAACGCATTAGCAATTTACGAGACTAATATAGTTTAAAAAAAAATTTGAAATGGAACTAAGGGCGCTTGTGCGATTTTTTCAGGTCCGATATGTCAGGCCATATATAAGTAATGCTAGCCTGTGCACTGTCAGGAATTTTACCGTCCGGGATTTTCCTTTTCTCTATTCCGGACCGGTTTTTTCAGGTCCGTGATGGCGGCAATAAAAACGTGTTTACGCTTGTGCACTGCTGTGTCCGCGATCCGGAAAATTCATAAAGAATAGGCTTGGGAAAAAATAATCGATTTGTGTATAATCGAAATTATTTCGGCGATATTGTTAATTTCCAAAAAACTTATAATCGATATTTATTGTAGATTATAAAATGCTATATTTCATATGATGATTTTATATAGTTGGTAAATATCACTGGATATGCTTTGGCAAACTCGGTATAGTTCTAATTTGATCAGCGTATGGTTCTAGTATCGATACTTAGCTAGATTTTAGAATCGTATTAAAAGTATTGATAACTTAAGATAAATAAGTGTTGTTACGCTTAGACGCCTAAACAACTGAACTCATCTTAATGGAAATTAATATAGTAAATAGACTTAACTTTAAGAAAGGACATAGGCTAATTTTATCGCGAAAAATAGGGGATGAAAGTTTGCCTGGAAATTTGAAATTATCAAAATTGATAAGTATAGATAAATATTTAATAACAGAAGTAATATTAAAGAATAAACAAAAGATTAACAGAAGTAATTAAGTGACACTCAATGTCTTTTTCGCATTTAAGTCTATATTGTAATAAAATTTGAAATGACTGTTTGTGTCATAAATAAATTTATAAAAAGAAGTATTCTAAGGGAAAAATATTTCTGCTCAAAGAAACTACATCACGCGTATAAAATTATGCCTATATATAATGCTGATCTTGTAAAGTTCATTTAGCATATTAATTCTCCGCTTACACGGCACTAAATTTGTTTACGAATGGCGCCACCGATTAGTCTATCTCTGTAATCAAATAAAAAAAATCGCATGTTTATAAATTTAAACATCAAGTACCATTATCAGTAATTTTATTCTAATGTCACAGATATTTTTAGCTATTGTATGTAAATAATGCTGTCCCTAAATTAGGAAGGGTATAAGTTTTTACATCTGATAGTAATCATCCGATAATAATAAAAAAATGCTTTCGTCTTGTCTCAATTTATTATGGTTTATGTAAAATGATCAGGTCATTATTTAGGTACCTTTCTACGTCTTCGAACTCAATTAACGACGTTCCATAAATCTCATCGTAGGGGAGCGGGGGGTATTGGGAGCGGTCGGGTAATGAGAGCGCTACTGGTAGAACGGAACGTATTCGCTTTGGCATGATCGTAAGTACTCGGCCGCTTCCGTCAAACATCGACAAACTTCGCCTGATGCGCACGAGCTGGCAGTCCAATTAGTTGAGTCACGAGGGACGGTTGTGTGTTTTTCGCTCTAAGCTTACAAGAAAACAGCAGATTGTCAGCGCCAAGGTAAGCATTTAGTTATATTCTTTTTTTAATGGGTTTGTCCATAACAGATCCATCATTTCATAATCTAACAATTCCAATTGGTTAAATTGAGTTTGAAAATAAAAGTACTGTGGGGAACCCACTATACATACATACAACATTCCATATTTATTTATTTATATATATTCACCACTACCATAAACATTCACATAGATTATTGAAACACTCTGGCAATTACAAAAAGAATAACAATAAAAAGAATATATATATTATATTGATTTATACTCTCTGATCAAATCATTTTTCGGAATTTGTTTCAGTATTAATATCTTTAAGACGTTGATTATATTTAGTTATTTTGTGATTGTATATATTCAGACTAAAGAAATTGTGCAAAGTTATTTGGAAGTTTCAATTTTCGTCATCGCTACTGCCATACTGGTGACCCCCGAATTGAACATCAAATAGCAAGACAAAATGGAGTCCGAACCATCGTCGTCGATGCCGAAGACTTTCCGCGTGGGTGTTCGAATACCGCCATTTTGGCCGGAAAAACCCACCATTTGGTTTTCACAAATTGAAGGGCAGTTTGCGATGGCTAGAATTACGGATGACACTACAAAATTTTATTATGTAATTTCTCATTTGGATCGACAATATGCTGTTGAAGTGGAAGACGTCATAACTGAACCGCCAACTTCAGGCAAGTATGATAAGCTGAAAAATGAATTAATAAAAAGATTGTCTATGTCTAGCGAAAGGAAAGTTAAACAGCTCCTCCAGTCTGAAGAACTTGGTGATCGTAAACCTTCTCAATTTCTACGACACCTACAGCAGTTGGCAGGCCCTAACATTCCAGAAAACTTCGTAAGAACGATTTGGACAAGCCGTCTTCCTAACAATCTCCAAACAGTTATAGCATCACAATTGAGTCTTACATTAACCGAATTAGCAGAATTAGCAGATAGAGTACATGATATCGCATCTACATCACCTCAAATAGCAACTACCAGTACAGGAACAGGATCAGTGTGGCGTTAATGTACCGAACCACTCTTCGACTTACATAAAATGGACTGTAGAATTGAGATGCTTTTGAAATGATTGTATTCACCTTAATCGAGAAGCCACAGAAACAAATCGCTTACCTTAAAAACCGCCCTGTTTCCTGCTTGGAACTCGCAATCCTTGTAAACGGCGTCAACTCTGTGCAGCGTTCAACTGATCCAGATTTTGCAGTGGTCTTCTTTTAGTAAGATCTATAACTTCACTCTCCGAGCGTTAAGATGTTTAAGATTAACTAAATTTGCCGGCAAATGTCATTTAAAAACTAATTATTTTAATATACGATAAAATGTTCAACGGTCTTTTTGAGAAGAAGAATAGACATCTCGTTATTTCTTATTTCTATAGAAACGGCAAAGACGGTCGCGCCGCCCAACGACGTCTTGTTGAACCAAAAAGAATGCGTTCCATTTGACAGTTATAGTATTAAGGCAGCGTCTGCTCCCACAGCAAACTTGATTAAGGTAAATTTCTAACACCCCCCACCGAAAGCATCATGAAGCTTTCCCACTATAGTAGAGAAAAAAAATAATATATTTAAATAACAAACATAAACTTTAATTATTTTAACATAAAATACCAGTTAATTAATAAGAATAACAGTTAAAAATAAAATATACATTAATTTATGTAAGGCAAGGGGCTTAATTTCACCACTGGTCTTTGAAATATATGGTTTTTGGAACGCAGAGTTACCTTTCGAACAATACCATCTAGCCCAGGATGTACACTTTCAATTCTAGCAAGTGGCCAGTTGCACGGATGAGCTTGATCATCTTTAACAAGTACTAAGTCTCCTATTTTTAAATTTGGTGGAGAAGTAAACCATTTGACTCTCTGTTGAAGAGTATTTAAGTAATCGTTGCTCCACTTCTTCCAAAATAATTGTGAACAATTTTGTAAATATTGCCACCGTGACAAATAACTAATAGAAACGTCCTTTTAATTATATTCTGGTACAGCAGTCAGAGACTTGCCTATAAGAAAATGACCCGCAGTTAAAACATTAAAATCACTCGGATTATCACTGGCAGGCAAAGCACATAGCGGTCGCGAATTCATTATGGCTTCGATCTTACAAAATATTGTAGCAAGCTCTTCGAAAGTTAAGGCTTTATCACCTACTGCTCGCACAAGATGATACTTGGCAGATTTTATACCTGCTTCCCAAAGTCCACCCATATGTGGGGCGCTAGGAGAATTAAATACCCAATTAATTTGACGTTGAGCACAACCGTTTATTATATCATTCTGTTCATTTTTACTTGACAGAAATTGCTGAATTTCATTTAAACGCTTACTAGCAGCAATAAAATTTATCCCGCAGTCCGAATACAAACAAGCGCACAAACCACGACGACTAACAAATCTATCTAACGTAGCCAGAAAACAATCCGCTGACAATGAAGATAATACTTCCAAATGAACAGCTTTTGTAGAAAAGCACACGAACAGTACCAAATAAGCTTTACTA